TGGATAGATGGCAGTATGGGAATATGGATAGATGGCAGTATGGGAATATGGATAGATGGCAGTATGGGAATATGGATAGATGACAGTATGGGAATATGGATAGATGGCAGTATGGGAATATGGATAGATGGCAGTATGGGAATATGGATAGATGGCAGTATGGAAATATGGATAGATGGCAGTATGGAAATATGGATAGATGGCAGTATGGGAATATGGATAGATGGCAGTATAGAAATATGGATAGATGGCAGTATAGAAATATGGATAGATGGCAGTATGGAAATATGGATAGATGGCAGTATGGAAATATGGATAGATGGCAGTATGGGAATATTGATAGATGGCAGTATGGGAATATGGATAGATGACAGTATGGAAATATGGATAGATGGCAGTATGGGAATATGGATAGATGGCAGTATAGAAATATGGATAGATGGCAGTATAGAAATATGGATAGATGGCAGTATGGAAATATGGATAGATGGCAGTATGGGAATATGGATAGATGGCAGTATGGGAATATGGATAGATGGCAGTATGGGAATATGGATAGATGGCAGTATGGGAATATGGATAGATGGCAGTATGGGAATATGGATAGATGGCAGTATGGGAATATGGATAGATGGCAGTATGGAATATGGATAGATGACAGTATGGGAATATGGATAGATGGCAGTATAGAAATATGGATAGATGGCAGTATAGAAATATGGATAGATGGCAGTATAGAAATATGGATAGATGGCAGTATGGGAATATGGATAGATGGCAGTATGGGAATATGGATAGATGACAGTATAGAAATATGGATAGATGGCAGTATGGGAATATGGATAGATGACAGTATGGGAATATGGATAGATGGCAGTATGGGAATATGGATAGATGACAGTATGGGAATATGGATAGATGGCAGTATAGAAATATGGATAGATGGCAGTATGGGAATATGGATAGATGACAGTATGGGAATATGGATAGATGACAGTATGGAAATATGGATAGATGGCAGTATGGGAATATGGATAGATGACAGTATGCGAATATGGATAGATGACAGTATGGGAATATGGATAGATGGCAGTATGGGAATATGGATAGATGACAGTATGGAAATATAGATGGCAGTATAAATATGGATAGATGGCAGTATGGAAATATGGATAGATGGCAGTATGGAATATGGATAGATGGCAGTATGGGAATATGGATAGATGGCAGTATGGGAATATGGATAGATGGCAGTATGGGAATATGGATAGATGGCAGTATAGAAATATGGATAGATGGCAGTATGGAAATATGGATAGATGGCAGTATGGGAATATGGATAGATGGCAGTATGGAATATGGATAGATGGCAGTATGGGAATATGGATAGATGGCAGTATAGAAATATGGATAGATGGCAGTATGGAAATATGGATAGATGGCAGTATGGGAATATGGATAGATGGCAGTATGGAATATGGATAGATGGCAGTATATATAGAAATATGGATAGATGGCAGTATGGAAATATGGATAGATGGCAGTATGGGAATATGGATAGATGGCAGTATGGGAATATGGATAGATGGCAGTATGGGAATATGGATAGATGGCAGTATGGGAATATGGATAGATGGCAGTATGGGAATATGGATAGATGGCAGTATGGGAATATGGATAGATGGCAGTATGGAAATATGGATAGATGGCAGTATGGAAATATGGATAGATGGCAGTATGGGAATATGGATAGATGGCAGTATGGGAATATGGATAGATGGCAGTATGGAAAAATAGATAGATGGCAGTATGGAAATATGGATAGATGGCAGTATGGAAAAATAGATAGATGGCAGTATGGAGATTATGCACATCATTTTTAGCTTGACATTTTCACAGAAAATAAATGCGAGCTATTGCCACAGTCATGTTGTCACTTTCTGTTGCCATTGCTGTCCAGATTTTTTTTGCATTGGCAATTAATTTATATAACTTTATGGATAGTCTTTATATAATGTACTTGGACATAACAACCCTTTATATTATTTGATGTCCTAATATATATAGCGGCGTCATCCGTGTCTCTCAGATATCAAGTTTTTATTTATAGGACCCATATTGATATTTGAGACCATCACAATAAACAAGATCTTGTAAATATGTACATGATATTTTGATAATTATAATTTGCAGTAAAACATTGAATTGGCTAATTCTTTAATATTTTTAAAGGAACTAATTACCATTTTTCGAACATGATGTCTTGAGATTGAACTGTTTTAAATAGAGTATAATGAAATGTTCATCCATTTACAAATAACTATATGATTATATAAGATATACACATGACTTGGTCCCAAGAAAATGAGCTTTTTTAATTTACACGTTTTTCTTGCAGACTTTAATTTTAAGCTGTTGCAAAGTTTAATTTTAAGCTGTTGCAAAGTTTTATATTGTAAATATTGATCTGAAATTGGATTTATACAATATATACGCAGATGCATTTACAGCTGTCTCAAATGAAGGGTAACATCTGTTAGGGTGCCCTAATTTTCTTGGAAACTGCAAACTTTTACAAATATGTGAATAACAGTAAAGTTAATAATAAATCAAACAATATAAACTGTCCTGCATTAAGTTGTTGGGTTTGAATACCGCTACAGAATATGTAATATTTCTGATTGTCAGATTAACATGTATGAGCACTTGTCCTGTTCTAAGAATTTTGATAAAAGCATTTGGAATTTTCTTTGACTTAAGATCAATGTGTGATAATATTTTTAATTCATCTTTGGTAAAAGATTGTTAGTCTTACATTTGTTTTATCATCTGTTTCAGCTTTGATTAACGGTCCCCACCACGTCAACACCCTATGTTTGTTCAATATCCACCTCCGCCACCAAAAAAAAAAATAATAAAAATCAGCATTTGGTAGAAAAGGTATACAACATACTTGATGTGAAACCAAGAACAGGTAAACACTCCTTGAAGTTAATATTAGCAGGCAGAGGACTTGTAAAATTTGGCTTTGTTTAACACTTTTATGATAAAGCGTTAAGCTTATTGTAAACATTCTAGAGTTCGCTTCCTGGAGCTCGCAAGTACTGGTATCTTGAATCATAGTCGTGAACCTATAAGTGCTTAAACCTACGAAACCTAGGTTGAGAGGCAGACATCTTTATCTAAAGGCCACCGCGCTCCCCTTTAATCCTGGCTTGGGCTAGCAAATATAAAATATGGCCTGACAGCCCAGTCTGTGTTTTAATTAGTCTGTTAATTGTTTTCTTTTTGTAAGGAAAGACAAACATACAAGAATATAAATTGTCATCAGTACACAAGCACATTGGTAAGGCAAAACAACAAAGTTCGCATGACATCGCGTTAACTCGCGTATTTGACCGCCAAACCTAAATTTATATTTATCGTAAACCTGAGGTCAAACATTTTGTACCCTAGGACTCACTTGCTTTATGTAAACTAGTACATTTATATAAAATGGCCCGACCTGTGGGTCCGTAAATATTTAAGTATCATAAGGATAAGTCATATAAACCACTTTTGGACACGTTTCCTTAATTGGTTACTTCCCTAATTGAAAGATTAGTTTTGATTTCTGAAACAAATTTTCATTCGGTTATTTACATGCATATAAACCGCGCCTTTGCAGTGCTCTTGTTTATTTCCTTTTTTCTTTTTTGGTTGTTGCTTTTTTGCCCTACTTTATTTCAGATCTTAGAAGGATTTATTACAGATGTTTGTATGCTTTGGACAGCATAAAATCTAGGACGATATCCTTTGGTTGAATTATGATCAATTATAATGTATTCGTTTTTAGACGTATTTGACTGTTGCAAGAAGTCGAAAACAATCTAATATGATTATGAAATAATAATCATAGCTAAAAAGGGATTAAAGAAAAACTCCATTCTAATGCGTTTTAAGTGGTGGACAGATTATTTATATCCTTTATTAGAACGTTGATAGTAACCTTTGACACGAAACGTTTCAAATACATTATATAACTTTTATTTTAGTTCACTTTTCTTTCTCACACAGGAACACAAAGAGTGCGAGGGTCCTGAATTAAAATGTTCAAATTATCATTTAATGGATTAGTTATAGTACGCAAAATCTGTTTTGATTAATTAATAATTGAATGAATTGAATTGAATGGGCTATAAACAAGCTAGTAAAACTTGTTCTAATCATGGTGATAAAAAACGTTTTTCTTATCTATATCTTTTAAAATGTAAGATTAACTGAACGAGGTTGAGAAATATGAAAAATCACCATGATGGAAATGATGTTGTTGATGATGATTATGTTGACGATGATGATAGTGATGCTGATGATGATGATGATGATGAAAGTTAACATTTTCTTTGTGACGATGTTGTTTATTTCAACCAACTTCGTGCCAGGCGAAACATGTCTTTTAAAATCGATTCATGTTGTTGACGAATGCTTTATTCTTTGTTCTCAACAAATATAGCTCTCGGAGATCATTAAAATCTCTCAAATGACAGGATTTTAATTGGTCAGTACACATTTTGTGCCAGATTTTGACCAGTCAAATACATGAGAACTGAGTTTGAGCTAAAAGAACTTATTTTCACATGTAGCCTCGGACCCTGTCCTTGTTGCCAAGTGATACGTTTGGCCGGTACCAATAACACTGCCTAACACTATATATACATATGATAGCTTACTTAGCTATTTAACAGCTATATAAAGGGATATGATTTAAAAGAAGTTATGTTTTATTTCATAATCGAATAAATAATACTCTTTCATTTCTAAATTGAATGGAATGAATGAAATAGTCTTGTTTCGTTATTATATTATTTCAACAAAAATAATCCGTTAAGAAATATTGTGCTGTCACGAAGCCGTCTTAAAAGATTTATTTCCATTTGAAGGACTGTATGTAACTTTACCACGGACGCTATATCAAATGTTCAAATAGACACTTAATACCACAAAAACGTTTCATTCGATAAGTAAAGCGAACTTGAGTAAACAATACAAGTCAATTTTGCAGGTTTATAACAGATCTGAATATTTAATAACATTGAAAAAGCAAAGAGAAAAAAATATTTGACAAGTTTATTAATTGAAAAATAAAATGTGACAATATAATAGTGTCGTTAAAATAAAATGTTGAAAATCGAAGTTTAACTTTATTAACGGATATACAGAAGTAAATGAAGAAATTTAAATTGATCAGTTTTCATATTGAAAGCGTTATAATGGAATCAAAATAGAACGATTCAAGTGAGAGAAAGGCGCGTGTCGTAATATCAATGGAGAAAACATATATTTAAATTTCATTTATATAGGAAGGTTTGAAAAGGAAATTAACCTCATGTACATGCTGAGATAGGTGTAATGGATTATTATCGCTCTATGATAAAGCGACGTATACCGTGAACATTACACATAATTCTGACGCCGTGACGTCAATTACGTCGTAACCATAGTGTGTACAGTTCTGTTTCCGTTTGTGATTGACATTTTAATGTTATTTTAATGGTTATAATTGACAAAATAATGTAAAATCTTCAATCAAGGACAAGAAAGTCCAACTTTGGAGGACGGTATGACATATGATAAGGTAAATTCTATACCAAACATTGTGGTATAAATTATTACAATTCTTTTTATAATTAGATCTAGTAATGCAATCAAATCTATATAGACATGATATATAGACATTATGGTAGATAAACGATTTTTTTCTTTGATAACATGTATGCTATGCTTATTTGCGTAAGCATGAACACATATGAGCCGCGCCATGACAAAACCAACATAATGGGTTTGCGACCAGCATGGATCCAGACCAGCCTGCGCATCCGCGCAGTCTGATCAGGATCCATGCTGTTCGCTATCAGTTTCTCTACTTGTTATAGGGTTTGTAAGCGAACAGCATGGATCCTGATCAGACTGCGCGGATGCGCAGGCTGGTCTGGATCCATGCTGGTCGCAAACGCATAATGTTGATTTTGTCATGGCGCGGCTCAATTATCATTATGTTTTACATGATTGTGCAGCCGTAACGTTGACTGCATCTCTATACAGATCGAATAAATAAATCTGTAATTCATTATTTACATAAACTGTTATCACACAACAAGATTAGATTATCTAAGTTTGAAATACTTAAAACAATGTTCCAAAGTTAACTATAAAATATTTTAAGGGACATTTTGAACTTTATTTTATATGACTATTTAATCTAAAGTCAAAGGTGGTCGTGTATGAAGATAAGAGAAACGATAATATACAATAAACTGTTTACAAAAATTAGGAATAATTGTGTTTGCTCTATTGTAGATATAAATAAAATAAACCTAATGGAATACAAACTATACGTGAAATAAGAAGCTTTCATTGATTTCTACTTATTGTAATAGCATTCCATGAGATTTAAAATGTTTTGTCCGGACCCTACATCAATAAATGTAGTGTCATTTATCAAACATTACAATAGCGGATAGTTTTCATAAAATCCGTCAATTTTTCAATTAATTTTATGTGTGGGGGTTATATTAAATATTGTTACATGCATTGAAAAGAAGGCGATTTATCACTGCCACATAATGTTGGTTTAGTATTAAAATATATTTGAAGGATAAAATTCCATGTAAAAATGAAAATGACTTTGGATAAATCAGGATATATCACTAAAAGTAATTCATGTTTATTATTTGTACAAGCAGATGTTCTATGTTTCCATACATGTAATATTTAAACGATGTTTAAATGCTTTTTTGTATTATCAATTCGACGTATCTTTAGATAATATCTTCTTTTAAGTTAGATTGCAGCTGAGCCATAACTATAAAAGATATAATCTAATAATACATAATACATAAAACAGTAAATTGATTTTTATTCTACATTAGTTTAATAACTACATTTGCGCTTAATCTGTTTTACTGTACACATGTACGTGTAATTAACTCTGTCTCAACGATTTTAATCTGTTTACAATGTGCAGCTTTAAGACTATATGTTTATAAATAGCTTGCTTCAGAGATATTTGATATAATGTGATTGATGGTCTATATATATATGACAGGTTCAGTTTTCACTGAACAGGCACATGTACCTACAGAACGGAGACCTCGGCCAATCACTGGATTGTCCGATAGAAGGTATGTAGCATTGATTTCGAGAGGGGTGATCACGTGGCTAAATGTTGAGAGGGGTGATCACGTGGCTAAATGTTGAGAGGGGTGTTTACGTGGCTAAATGTTTAGAGGGGTGGTCATGTGGTTAAATATTGAGGTGGGTGGTCACTTGGTTAAATATGGAGAGGGATGGATGGTCATGTGGTGAAATGTGGAGAGGGTGGTCACGTGGTTAAGATATACCTGCCTCATGGGTTCGAGTACCACTTTAATAAAGACCAAGTTTCCTTTAAAGACATAAAGACAACGGAATTGTTAATTGTGGGAAGACTGGAATTGAGGGCGGTACAAACAGTTCAAATAAGCGTCATACGTCAAATTAAACAATAGCTTGGCATATTTTCTATTTTAAGTCGATGTTATGCTCAGTTACGTTAAAGCATATTTTTTCAAATTTTACCAACGATCAAAATTTTAGTGTAAAATCTGTATATTCCATTTTTAACCCGCAAACATTTCCAAGTTTATATTCCAGCAAATATGTTTAAAGTTTTGACAATTTCCATGGTACTTTTTATTATGTATATGTGAAAATGATGCCTTAACAAGATATATTTTTCCTAAATAGATTGTGTCCTCCTAGATAGCTTTGAGAATTATCATTATATGTTTGTCATTCTAATATTTATTCACTGCTCTAATTAAAGATGAACATTAACTACTATCTTTGTGTATTATTCAAATTAATTTGAAGAATATTTCCGATAATTTAAGACTGAACAATTCGTTGAAACTCATTTAATTTGTGAAGAATTCTGTCTGATGATACCGATATGAACTACTTGAGTTTACGTTTTATGTACTTTATTTATGGATTTGATAATATTATATTATATTAAATGAAAACCAATTAAAATATATAGAAAAACGATTCGCTGTTGAGGTTTTTGTAAATTTAACAACTCGAAATATTTCATTATTTGGATACATAAGTTTGGTATCTTTTTAAACGCGATCAAAATGCATGATTTTCTTACTATAGTTTAACAACATCTTTTGTTGTTATTACGTACGGATAAACGTACTATATTACAATTTATCATGTTCTCTTAAAAGTGTAGTATTTAAGGCTATATGTAACATTTAAAGTACGTATGATTATTTTTTTTAAAGAAAGGAAAAAAACAAACATATTTCTTCTTGTCCATAAGTCCATAATATATTAAAATAGACCTATACAATCTAATGATACCGTTTGTAACACAATAAAATATTTCCTTCAAAAATTAAAATGCATTAATTATAAGGGACATACAAAAAAACCCATTAATTATAAGGGTTTAACATCACCTTTAAACATGTCCGCGTATTTACTTATATATACCTTTATAACGTGAAATGTCTACTGTATTTTAAAAGATTTAAACATTTGATTAAATCAATGTTTAATCAAGTCATTTGATTTTTCAACCGAAACTTCGTTATGTATTTAGTTTTCGATATTTCACATGGTTTGGCTAAAAGAAAATACACCGGCCTTTTTACGTTCATGAAAGATTTAAGTGACGCATAGACTTTTTGAACTTTCGTATAAATATTAGTTTCAGTCAATTTACACGCCGAGCGTTAATTGTAAATATTATAATGAAGCTAAAATATATATTGACTTAATATCATGTAAATATTTGAGAAATAATATTGATTATAATCTAACAACACAGTCATTGTCAAGGTTATCATTTGATCTCTTTCTCCTATTATATAGCTGTAATTTTACAAGTGAAAAATTTAGTTAATAGTTACTTTACTTGATTTACAGGTGAAAAAGTAATCGTGTCTCAAGTTAAACAGAAACGTAAATCTAGTGCATATGAATCTTCATTAGCAAATATAAAAGAAGTCACGGAGAGAAGAAATTCCGAACGCAACTCGAATAAATTCAAGGAACTAAGTGACGATAATTTATACAAAGGAAATAAACCAGAAACATCCGGAATTAAGTACTCAAGCAGTGGCAATGGAACCATCGAAATGTTTCTTTCAAATAACATAGAAAGTAAATCAGAAATGGAACTTTTTCCAAAATATATAGAAGATAAAATGAGTTTAAGCACAAAAAGCAGACAATCAAGCTATGATGCGGGAATATTGGAGAACGGTAAAAGATCCTGTACAAGTGAAAGAAACAGTAGTAGTAGTCAAAGTAATAATATAATGAAGAGTGAGAATGAAGATGAAGTTTCAATTCCTAAATTAGAATTAGATCGAGAAGATAAACAAGAGCGTAAACGACATGTATCAAACTTGGAAAAATGTTCCAATAATAGTAATGAAATGGGTAATGATCTCCACGTGCATGAAGACGTGACGACAAAACTTCCAAATATTAAATGTGAACATATTCTTGCTGGTCGAGATTTATCTATGAATCAAGCACACAATGGAACTGAAGACTTTAAGAATGGTTCAGATAAGTGTATGGTCTGTGAAATCACCGAAGCAACGGCTAAGTATGCGTCTGTTGAGGCCAACAGACTTCTATTAGAAATTGTATACCCACATGAATTTTACGACAAGTTTCAACGTTCTGGTAAACGAGCCAGAATGAGCAGAAATCAACGAAATCCAGATACTACCAGAGATCATATAAATATATGTAAACCAGCTAGCGTTGCTCCAAAAGTATGGCGCCGTGAACGAACAACACTTATGCAATCCAAGTCGACAACGAACGATCGCCCTGATCCACCGAATTCCACGAGAGAAACATACATAAGTAAATTCAAAGAACGCTCAGAACAAGACCTTAGTCCAGAAAAGAGAATAAAGAGAGATAAAGATGAACCAAAGAAAGAAATACACTTACAGTGTAAGGCAAAAGACAATGCATTAATAGTTACGGAAGACAGTGGAGGCCAAAAACTTGTTCTCAAAGGACTAAAAGGATGGATATTGAAGAAAGATGATATGTGTAAAAATAGATTGCATACAGAGATCAAGAAATGTAAGTTAATTTAAAGAGATATTTTTAAATCTTCAACATTCGGCTTAAATCCTCGTAAAATTTACAGCCATAAAATATGGATTTTTTCAATGTTGTTTAACAGTTCGTTTATTGAATATATTTAACAGGACATGCATTATTTAAAATTGTTTCTGTCTTTAAAATGTGTTTTATTCATAATTTGTTGTGCTTGCACTACTAGTAATGGTCAGTCTAAACAATTATTCGTGCAATCAAGTCAGTGGTGTACATATGTTACTTTCTCATTTATTGATATTTTTATTACAGCTTTGTACCAAGTAAATAGTCTGGGAATGAACTTCAGTATTCCTGAATATAACTCAACTCTCAGCGAAAGAAAGCTTCAGCTCATGCGATCTTTCACGAGTATTACAACACCACGCCCACCAGAAACGCAGCAACCAATCAGAAAATCCGTTACACAAAACTACAGTCCCCGTAGCCATGTGATTCATGCGGATCCGCCGAGAGATATTCAGTCAGTACCAACTAGAACAATAAAAGGTTTACAGAGAGGTTATACGCACGTGCCAAAATTATTTTCAGACACTTCTACTGAGGACTCGTTTAAGAGTCTTCAGAAGACAAAAGTTGCCATGGACAATAGTAAATCAATGACTGAAAATAGTGTTCCTTTTACAAAAGGAAATACTAAACTGTCATTACCTCCTTTAGTTAATGACATTAAATCTAGATCTTATACTTTTACACAATTTTAACGATATTTTAAAGTAAATTATAAAAAACCTAGAAGTTTAAGTGCAATAAAATGTTGAAACATTTACAAGCTTTCTTATCATAGTTATTAAAGAAATTAATATTCAATGTGTGTTATAAAGACGCCTGTAAAATCTTGCACCATTTATTGGTGGCAGGTGGTTCGGTTACATAGATTCAGGAGTTTGCGTAGCTTGTAAAACAATAAACAACTCAAGATAAGTTTGTGTTGTAAAAGGGCTTTTATTTAAGCCGTAAACAAAGTATACTATAGTACATTTAAACATGACTAGAATAACAGAGACATATTAAAAGTTGAACTTATTGTTTTATCTGGGGAAACAAATTCCGCCAGACAACATATTAAATGGACTTGTCCATCTTTCAATCTATACAAACCACTCGTCGTCTTAACTGAAATTTTCAAAACATGTTCTGATTGAATAGCTAACAATGCAGACCGTGATCAGGCGACTGGGTTTTCATATTGCGACTTTCTAGCTTCACTGGTGAAGAAAGACTTCATACCCTCCAAAGTGATAAAAAGTGCATTTATTTTTTGGTTCAGTGCCATGGCAACATGACTTAGAATATCAGGCGTAACCTGATAGAAACAAATAGCCATATCAGCGTGTCAGAAGTATAACTGATTATAATTTTATATATTTTGGAAATTCTCTCCGTAACATAATCATTGTGGGAAAAGGACGAAGTTTTTAGTTTTCCACATTATATATATCTGGAAATAATTGAAGCACACACCGGAAATTTAAAATTGGTTGTGATTGAAAGCACTGTCATAAGATGATGACTTAATTGAGCTAAGAACTCGTGAACACCAATTTAGTAATCATAAAACAGTAAATTTATGAGTTTAGTTTATTCTCAACCAAATTATTGAAGCATAAGCAAATGTGTGTTTTTTACCAAAATGTGTTTATAAGTATGGCGTTGGAGCGTTTACAAAACATTTAAAGCCCCATTCACATTAGAGCTTACGACCACTAAAGACCAGTTGACGATCACCAGTGACCTCTAGTCGCGGACAATCTTAAAAAAGTCTTACGACGGTCGTCACCGGTGATCTTCGACAGTCGCAGATTATCTTATTATGGTCCCACGACCAATTTCAGTCGCAGGGAGGTTATTGAGCTTGCACAAAAACCTCTCTGAAATCAAAAGGTCGCAAGTGATCTCATAAGGTCTTAGACTGTTGCACGATCGTCGTTCGAAAGTCTCTAATAATCTTCAACTGGTCGCCGCCGATGTCCTTGTCACTTAGTCGCAGGTTGTCTTTCCATAGTCGTAAGATCACCGTGCGACTAGTAGCGACCTGTCTTACGATCACCCACGATTACAAATGACAACTAGTTGTTGCAATTGCATTTGCAGCTCTATCACTGCAGTCTTATTGGTGCGTCGGCCATAACCATTCTGGGTTGATTACTATCTCGCTACTGTGATTAAAGTAAATGTTTCCCTGTAATGTCATTATTTATACCTCCAATTCATCAGTCTTTTTAAGGTTTTTGTTAATCGCAAAACTGTCGTGCAACAATCTTACGACAGTCTTTCCAAATTGCCACTAGTCACTGATAGTCTTTAGGTAGATGGTAGTACAACAAGGTAGTTGTAAGTAATCCCGGGCAATCTTGAGACCATCGTACGTTCTCGCACAATTGGCAATGACTGGTCGTACGATAATCGCGGAAGTAAATTTATCTGTGCAAAGAGGTTTTGGTCGCAGACATTCGCCGATGATCGTCGGTTTTACATGTCGCCGGTGGTCGCAAGTAATCGTAAGCTCAAGTGTGACTGGGGTTTTACCGGCGGATATTTTTGGTAAATGTTGACGATTACGTAACCTAAAATAACATTATATAGCCAAATTTTAATAATGCGTGTAACCGCCACGTGCCCGGATGATAGCCTCAACCCTTCTCCTCATACTGCCAGTCAGGCGTCTAATGCGATTTTGAGATAATTGGTGCAGAGCTTGGTGCAGGTTGACTACAGGTGATTCGTACCATTGCCCAAATAAAATTCAAAATGTCAGTTGTGGTCATGTCAAAATTGGGGCAAAATGCTGGGTGTGCAGGTGTATATTTCAGGTGTATATATTATGTTAAATGACTTCGTACCTGAAGTGCACTCAAGTTTACCTTGTGTTTAATTAGCAGAAATGAACTTAGATTAATTGCACTAACAGAATAAGAATATCTGATCGTTACGGTGCACAGAAGATTTTAAACTTTTACCTTTACTTACGTCAAATATTTTATCATTTTATAGTACCACAAAAAGGGAAATATTTAAATGGCACGTTCGTTATTTTTGGTATATATTAAAACAATGTATATGTAACAAAATCAATGCTTCTACCATGCTGTGCATGGCTTTTCCTATGTTCTTATCTGCGCGGTCAATTCCTGTTTAAACAGCCAGTGAACACCACTGATAGAAGATTGATTTTAAGTTTTAATAAACAACTCTCATGTCTTTTTTCTGTACCGTTGACGAAAAATGCACTGGTTGATAAGGATACACGGTTGGGTTTCCCCAGTTGGTATTACTTAAGCATGCTAAATTTCACTCAAGTAGAGTCGTTTCTATATAGTTTATAAAAGTTATTCCCTAAAGTTTCTCACATACATGTTGACAAAGAAAGACAATTGAAATCAGTTGACAGATTTTTAACTTTACACGATTAATTAGAATAACAATTGATACAATTTTGTGTCACGATTATTATCTATCTCAGTTCTCTTTGATCATGCAAAGTTAATAAAACAAGAACTGTCGGAGGACAGTAACGCTTGACTATTCGAAAATTTGTCACAAGGGTGTTTCATTGAGTATAATAATGCTAACCTATATGAATACATTAAACTGTCCGAAAAGGTACGAACCCTTTCAATACATTCCCTTCAGTAGTTATGGAGATACAAGCTTACACACAAAAACTTAACCAAGAATTTATGAATAAAAAAAGGGGCATAATTATGCGAAAAAAGTAAATCGTAGTTATGGGACTTGTGCCAATCATCTTAGATAATCACAGACAACAAGAGTGTGAAGTTTCAATCCATTCCCTTCAGTAGTTATGAAGATACCAGCTTACACACAAAAACTTAACCAAGAATTTCTAAGTCAAAAAGGGGCATAATTATGCAAAAAAGCAAATCAGAGTTATGTGACTTGTGCCAATCATCTTAGATAATCACAGAGAACAAGTTTGTGAAGTGTCAATCCATTCCCTTCAGTAGTTATGGAGATACCAGCTTACACGCAAAAACTTAACCAAGAATTTCTAAGTTGAAAAAGGGGCATAATTATGTAAAAAAAACAAATCAGAGTTATGGGACTTGTGCCAATCATCTAAGATAATCACAGAGAACAAGTGTGTGAAGTTTCAATCCATTCCCTTCAGTAGTTATGAAGATACCAGCTTACACGCAAAAACTTAACCAGGAATTTCTAAGTCTAAAAAGGGGCATAATTATGTAAAAAGGCAAATCAGAGTTATGGGACTTGTGCCAATCATCTTAGATAATCACAGAGAACAAGTGTGTGAAGTTTCAATCCATTCCCTTCAGTAGTTATGGAGATACCAGCTTACAAACAAAAACTTAACCACAGGGACGCCGACGCCGACAAATGGGTGACTGCATTAGCTCGATTATTCTGCGAATAGTCGAGCTAAAAATCAATTTACTAGTTAAAATTTTCATTCTTGCCTATGTAAAAAGGGAGAAACTATAAAAACGTGTTTTGAAGTATATACATTTAATACACAATTGTTGCGATACATTTACATAACCAATTATGATACAAGTTTCAAAGCGGACTAAGCGTCTCTCCAGACGAATACAGGGTCGCAACTCTAACGTAACCGTAGTAATACCATGTGAATGCATTTTGTCCACTCATCATAGATGAGAATACAAACCCGCAACAGTTCCTATTTTTTCTGTGTCGGGGATCATCTACACTCGGTTTTAAACGCTCAAATTCGTTAGCCATTTAAATGCTGATTTACTTAGAAATCATTTAACAGAAAATGCATCTTGTGAATGCGGTTATGCTTTTGAAGATGCTGAACATTTCTTTTTTCAATTGCAGACGGTATACATCACAACAAATTCAACTGCTTTTTTTCATCCATTAAACATGTGTACTCTTCTGTTTTGTAATAATTTATTCAATCAATATCTTTTTTATAGTCGTATTAGGGACGGACAGAATTACTGTTATTTGAACTTGTGGTCCAACCCTTTTTCTTTCAAAATGTATTTTTTCTATATATTTGTATTGTAAATCTTGTAAAAATTGAAAGGAATAAAATATGTTTAAACTGCAAATTCATCATAGCAAATCAAGGTACACAACTGTAAAATGCAAATGTTGTTAAACATTTTACTATTCCAAGAATCATGGGTAGTTACCTAAACTGACTCTTTAACAAGGGGAGGACACTGCGAAAAGTCACATGGGATAAAGTAAGTTATTGTGTGTAAAATTTAACTATTTGAACATATTTTTGCTGCAAGTCTTCTGTCTTATGTTCACGTGTCAATCAACACATAATGTAATAAAAGAAACAACAACAAGCATGTGTATAAGACTGATAATTTAATTTATAATTCTATGTGCACAAATGAAATGTTGCATAGAAAACAAAAAGTTCTACAACAAAATATCAAGGAGAAAACAAAATTATATTGAACAGAAATGACGATGGTTCTTTCTATAAGCTATCAAAGTCTGTAGAAATGTAAATTACATTTATTCATTCATGAATAAATTATATAAACATTTTACTTTGTGTCAAAATCATCCATAGCTTTGGTCAGTAACTTGAAAGAACCGATACAATATCTTTATGCTATATAAATTAATAGTGTCCATTATATTACCTTTTACTGCATCATGGTAGTTTGTAAGAGAATGAACGATAAACTGAATAAAAAGATCTGGAATAACCAGTTGTGATATATAAAATATTTCACTATCAAGATATATCTTTATATTTTCATAATGATGGAAAAACAAGATGAATGGAAAATAATACAACGTAAATGGACGTTTTTTTCTTCAAAATTTGAAGAAAGAAGAAACATTAAGAAAAGAAGAGAAGAATATAATATAGAAGAATTTTTAAACATTTGTAAAATATTTAAATATTGGTGTTAATTCATGTGATATTACTTTTGTTAAACACACAGACATATAAAATTCCCTCTCAAATTATTTTTTTAATTTTGTTAAAGATGACATAAAAAGGAGACTATACACAGTTGTCTGACTAGGGCTTTCTTATAAATTCCTGAGTCAATAATTAACCTTGTTTATTTCAAACCCTTAATTAAAATAAATTCAAACTTCAACACTCCCCCATCACCTGTGTATATATAATTTTTTGAGATCCAAAATGTTAGTGATACAATAGAGATTGAGAAAAAGAAGAAATACTTATGATGAATGATATATGTAAACTAAAGAACCTGTTAGACGGTAATTAAAAAGGTAATGTTTTAACCTTGGACCATAATATTATATTGTCTGAATGAATCTAGGATGTTGTAGACAGAAATACATGACTGTATATTTCCAACAGTACATAATTTATGTGTTTCCATCAGTGGTAGACAGAAATAGATGTGAATTTCTATCAGTTTTAGATAGAAATAAATGTATACTTCACACAGAAGTTGAGCTTATCTTTATAGTTCTGAGTAAAAAATAAAAATAACAAATCTATTGAACACATGTAGTAAATCAGCTCAATGTATTCCATCTATGTAAATAAAGAACAAAATGTGATATATTCTCTAAAACAAGAGCTGTCAGTAGGGAGGGGTGCTCAACAATTCTCAATGCTTGATAGTAAAACAAGAGCCTGGATAATGTAGAATTGTAAAAACTCAAAAAGAGCCATAATTCTGTCAAAATACGTGTTTGAGTTATGGGTCTTGGACAGTGAACTCCTAAAATGTTCTCAAATAAGTGTATGAAGTTTCACCCATTCCCTTTAATAGTTTTGCACACAAAAACTTAGGGACGCCAATGCCAGGGTGAGTAAAGTAACACTCCTCATTCCTTGAAAAGTAAATCTAAAATTAGTCACATAAAATTGAAAGTACATCTGTGTACCTATTAAACTTTTAATTGAGTAAAACAAGCTAAGAATTCTTTTTGGTTTTCTTATGTTAGAAATCAAATTAGCTAGTAAAATACATGAATAATAGTACTGTAAGAAAATGGGAGAAATAACTTTCTCTATATTTTTGTTGTTTTCATTCTTCAATCATTTATGGACTGCCGTAATAGTAAACAACATCAAACTGATGTTTATTCTAGACATTATGACCAAATTTTCTACTTCTAATGACTGCCTGATTATAATATTTTGATGCTGAAATCCACCAAAATAACAACAAACATTTTCAAATTTCAAGAAGGACACATAATTAGCAAGGTAAAGGTTAAACGATAGATCAGACAAGCATTTTGTCAAAATTTCCTTATTCTACTAGATGGAATATACTGAACATTAATGTGTATTTAAAATAATTTCCTACATAAAAACAAACTTTAAAACAATAACACAAAAACAATTTGGGCCCTAAATAAACAAATTCCTACAAGCAACATGTTTGGAAGAGTATAAAAATAAAATAACATTTGTAACAAAAAAACAAATATAATCTTCACTGTAGCCAAAAGTGTACAAGTTCTCCTTTAAATTATGGCACTTGGGCACTTTTTGCACTGTGGTGAAGGATGTACAGGGAATAAACAATTAAGATGTCACATCAACACACTTGACAACATTTAATGAAAATTCTAAACTACAAAATCTCATCATTTAAGCATATATATATTGTACATTAAATCAAAACACTATTATTTTCTTATAATATTCAAACATATATCATGTCTTCTAATATCAGGAAATCTCTGTCTCCTCTAATCCAAAATGTTTAAAATATCTTCCTTAAATATCTTCCTTTTCTAATATTAAATATCATTTCCTTCTACTTTTAACAATTTAGCATATATACATATGGCACTTTATCTTTGAATTCTCTTACTTTGAACATTTCTATATCTATCTGTACTGTTATGTTTTCATCGCGACATAGTATCAACAGATAAGATTGTTGCCATTTACAGCACAATAAAAACAGAGGAGATTTTGACACCTTTAGCTTTAAATCACGATTTTTATTAGTTATACCATTCATCATAAGTAAGTATAAATTCCCGTAAGTTTGTCATTTCCTACATCTAATATGTATACAAGAAACTTGTAACTTCTGATTGTACTTATATACTAGGTTTATTGTTAGATAGACTTGATGATTTTGTTTCACCATAATTACACAGGACCTGGAACAGCCAAGTTGGATCTGTTGTATTAAAATCAAAGAGAGAGCTAAATACAAGTAATAAATCAAGAAAGTCTTATAACAACCCACTTACTATATGTATCCTTGTTCTATGTTGTCAACCATAAAGTGAACACATTACATTAGTTACAAGATACCACGTCACAATGATACATTCATAAAATACAGATTTTTATTCAATTGGGTTTAATTAGTGCATGTGATATGTCCCATACATACAGTAAAACAAAGTATGTATAGGCAAAAATTTGTATCCTTGCAGTTAACAGAAAATGACAATATTTGCTGATTTTTTACTATCTAACAATGAATGTAACTAATCTGTTCTTTATAAATTATTTAATGCTATTATCATCATAACAACTATTTTATCCAGCTATAATAGTTCATATAGGCCTTTATCTGTTTTCATAATCTTTGGTTCATCTCTAATCAACTTAATAAAAACAATATATTTATGTCACCAGTTCATGAAACAAGTCAGTAAGCAAACCTCTCAAAGTTTCTAAACAGAGAAACTTACACAAAGCAAGATTTGTTAAAGGGAAATAATATACATGTATATCAAACACTTGCATGAGATATCTCATCTCTGTTGTCTAAGTTTACAAAAACAATGATATTATATAAATGATATTATTAGTTAACGGCTAAATTCTTTAAAACACTATTTATACATAACCAAGTTATATAGTCAAAATCATATGGTTCTGGTGATAAATGGTTGTAATTGATATTCATTGAATAATTTAAGAGGCTTAACAGCTTCTAACTGTGCCCTCGTTAAACACCAATTATACAAAACAGCAAGTACTCCCTTTTTCTAACAGATTCAAACAATCTTAATTCAGGTCAGTCACAGATTGACCAGATCTTTATTTATTTCTCCGTAAAAAAACAACAAAATTATATACAGCTTTTCTCATATTCCAATGTTTCTAACATATACAAATTATGTGATTCCCACACGTAACTTTACGATATTACAAAATTTACAGATGAAAACATTATTAATGGGGGAAAAAATAGAAGAATTATGAACATCAAGCTTACAATATCAGGTTAACATTTGAGAGTCATAACAATTACAGATAGTTGATAAAATGAGCCGCGTCATGACAAAACCAACATAATGGGTTTGCTACCAGTATGGATCCAGACCAGCCTGCGCATCCGCGCAGTCTGATCAGTATCCATGCTGTTCGCTATCACTTTCTCTACTTGTAATAGAGTTTGTAAGCGAACAGCATGGATCCTCATCAGACTGCGCGGTTGCGCAGGCTGGTCTGGATCCATGCTGGTCGCAAACCCATTATGTTGGTTTTGTCATGACACGGCTCAAATATAAAAACAAGAAGCAGTATCTAAAGCAAACAATATAATACTCCTTTTGCACTTCGTTGCAGGGTTTTTATTAGCTTGAAAGTATTTCTTTTTAACAATCTGAATTTTCTGGTTAAGTATTGCATATCAAATATTACTTTAAATTATATTAAATTTTTTTATGTCAAATTTGTATCATTTGTCAAATTTTAAAATCAGTCTAAATTTTAACGCATAACTAATATTGTTCAATAATAAAGATTATCTACAACATTGTATTTTATCATCTTCCAGGGATATGTAGTGCGAGTTAATAATTTTAAAGTCAACAAAAGCTGAGCATTTTTTAACTTTTAAACTTTCAAATCAAATAACATATACCCTACTTTTCATATATGAGGGAACAAAAATAAACAGCAAGAATGGGAATTTAAACATTGTTTTCATTGATAAGTAAAAAACACGATACAACATTGAGCGCACCTAAGAAATATTCTAGGAAAACAAATTATCACAGCATATGTTCTTCGTCATCTTATCGCTATGGTTACAAGCATGCAGCTATATCTTCTAACTACAACAATGTAAATTAGTACAATACATCACATACTTATATGTCTATGCATTAGGGGAGTGTGCAGGGACAGCAAATTGGCACAAAACAAAGAAATATTTACATTTCTTCAAATAAGATTTACAATTCTTTAAGCATTTTTACTATAAAATGAAAAAATATCCATTTTATTTCTAAAAATACAACTGTTTAACTATATATATAAAAAAAATCATGATATTTTGTTGATTTTGATAATGTATGCTTAAAAAAAATGACATTGTACAATTGCCATTTTTTTTTCCAAATGCATTTTGTAAAGTTTGAACACAAAGTTTATGATGAAATATTTTCCATATTCTTTGAATAAAACTTCTTTCGCGAGCAATAATAATACAGCTGCTTTTTACAGAATGAAACTGTCAAAATCATCATTCTACTACTTGTATCTTATTAACATACAGGTCAAATTTTGTATACAATTAACTAAATGATAAAATGTTTTTGATTTTTGGGATGAAAAATGGAATAAATTCAGTGGGAAAAAAATCATTTTAATTCAATCAGCTAAGCAGTCAATCTGTTATCAAGTCTTAACCAATGCTACAGTGATTTGAAAAATAGTTCTTATAATATTAAGTCAGTAAAAATATGACAATTAATATTTTACATGGCAGATTTACCTACTTTCTTCTTCAATATCTATCGTTATTTATGTACAAGTACTTCACTATAAGATAAATATTTCTGTTACATGAGCCTAGAGTTATATTGCACAACATATAATAAGATAAAATATATTTAACATCTTTTTTATAACATGATATAACAATATTGTATAACAACAGTACTTTATTATTACACCTCACAATCCACCTTAACCATCACTGTAACTTTCCCGGCATTACCTTATATCATTTATAACTAATACCAAGAATATGTATGTTTTTTCTTTTCATTACTTAACTTTTTTTCTTTTCATTATTTAAAAACCATGAGCTTGTAATGCTTAAGTCAAATAAAATATTTGTTCTGTTCTGTTCCTAATTTTCTATTCAATTAAGAGTATTTCTTCAATTTCTTAAACCTCATTTTTTTTTTACTTATATAACTGATTGTTAAAATTATTTGAATTACAAATGAATAAAACTGCCTCTGCTAAACAATAATTTATGAATAGATGTACATGTTTATAGGTTGTAACAATTTATACTGTAATCTTAAACTCAATATGACAACTAAACCTATACAAGAGAACAAAAAAAAAATCCTCAAAAAACAAATAAAGATTTAAAAAAAGTAGGATAAACCACTAGAGATTGATATAAGATGTATTAACTTATCAACAATCAATCAGGATGTTGACTTTCAAAACAACTATTCAGTAAAAACAATGACAAAGTTGTCATTTAACAATGTCACTTGAATCAAGTACCAATATCCTCAATGATTATCAGATAACACCCCTTTATTACTTAATACTGCATAAAATAAATTTTCCAAATATCTAACTTAATGATGATATCTTATTTACTACATTTTCCCCAGAAAAATAGCTATTTTACAATAATATGTGTAAATTGTACATTAAATTTTTTTATTTGGCTGACATAGTCATGTGTAATACTTAAACTGTGGAATACAGCTCTATAATTCTTAAATACCAAAAATATATTTACATACTTCAAAAATATTTTGTCATTTTGTAACTATTAAGACATTATTATTATTTAAGTTCAAAATCAGCTGTAACTGAGCATAGCAACATATTTCAACATGCAGCAAAAGTATTCAAGCATTAAATGTAATTTCACTTACTATTATACATGTGGATTTTGATTTATTAAATTTTGTTTTTGCCACAAAATAATAATTAACAAAATTCTTATTGGACTGTGATGTCATGAAAAAAACTGTAAAATGTTACACAGCAGAAATAATAAATCATAACATTAATGATGTTGACTTTGTGAACTATCTTTCAACTTTACATTGAAATTATGTCCTTGGTCATTATCTGCTATCAGGTCAGTTAAACTATTTATTGACCTCAACAGAAGTATATAACTGTATAACCTCAAACATAACATAATGTGATATATTCATATCTGTAATAGAGATTTTATCACTCTGGCAAGTTATGGCAGCACTTCGTCTTGTTTTTACTTTTTATTATAAAGCATAGCACTTAAACCATCAGATTAGAAGCCAACATCCACATTACATTCTTACTAAACTTAAAACACATCACATAATATCTCAAATACTCTTTTATAGGCAACAACAAAAGCTGTAGTTTGATTATAGACCTAACATAGCTACAATGTTAGAAGTCCAAATATAAATCTTATCCACCTATCATATTTGTCCAATGCCGAAAATACAAAATGAGACAGAGTAATACAAATCATAAGCATAATTTAGTATTTGATTAGTTTATCATGTTTTTATTTCCTAATGTACATTAGTAGTAATCATGTTCTCCTAAAAAACAAATTCCAGTAGTAATTCTTTGCAAAAAAAATATTTGTAATGTTTAAATTTGTTAACTAAATCAAGTTAAATTTGTCAACTAAATTGAGTTAAAATTTGTCAACTTAATCATCTAAATGATTCAAATTTCCTATTGCAAATTACATTGTGGTCTTAGTTACCATGACATTAAAAAATTATATAGCTAACAGTAACCAGGATGAAATATAAATGAAATACAGTCTAACATGTTGGGAGATGTAATACAGTAATTTTATAACTACACAAAACTTAAATAAATGTTTAAAATTAAACTAGCAGTTAACTGTTGATGTGTGAATTTTTGTGACAACATTTTACTTATAAGTCTTAACATACTGTATATAGTAAAATATACTAAGAGTAAAATATACTATCGGATATAATGCATTATAAATGCAATTTTTTCTTAAACTATTTCTAGCAAATAAGAGTTATGTCTAACAAAAATAAGGGGAATTTATCTGTACTTAAAGGTGATGCACATTTATCTCCCTTTTAACATTTGACTGTGATGATCTTGATCGTTGAGGTGTTTGCATCTGTTGCTCGGTGTAATCTATCTGCATACTGTATCCATTTTGTTGTTCTGTACTTATACCTGGCTGCCTTCGTATCTGAAGCTGGGAAACAAACTTTGGTGACGGGAATGGCTGACTGCCATGTTCCGAATATGTAGGAGTATTTGGATTACTTTTGCTATTTCCCCTCTGTGGACTGTGCCTGAATTCTGTGGGATGACGTGGACTTGCGGGATTATGACTAGACTTGTTGGAAGGTGGGCGTTCTGAAGATCGTTTCTTAACTGAAGATGTGAATGACTGAGCACTGACACCATTCTGAACACTAGAGGATACGTCCATTGTCTCTTTATTAACAACTATCTGATTTTCTTTCCGTTCAATCCAGACATCTTCTGTCGGAGGAAGTTTTCCGTCTATTATAAAACCATCAGATTTACTGATTGGTATAGAATGTACCTGCGTATGAGGTTTCACAACAATGGTAGGTGAATGGTTAATGTGCGCAGTTTCTACTGAACTTTCATGTTTAACAGGTACTTGCACAGTATTGTCATATCTTATAGGGATATCAGGTATTGGGACACGACGTGGTTGCGATGACAGATGTTTTACTGGTATCTCATATTGCACAGGGATAGACTGTATATGTTCAACATTTAATTCTACTGGCTCATTTTCCAAGTTATCATAATCGGCATTTCCATTCATATTTTCACCATTCATATTATCATAATCAGATGCCTGAGAAGGTGGTTTAACATCAAACACTTCATTTGGCATATTCTCAAGAGTTGATTCTCTTGTTAAAGTATCTGTACCATTCACATGTACTTTCTCCTTAAATGGAATATTGGTCAATTCATGTTCAATTTCCATGTCATCCTCGTCAAGCGGCGTCGGAGTGTGACGCGAACCAGGTAGTCGTGGACTTTCTAAATCGGAACCATCAGCAAATGATGTACGAGAACTTCTAGGTGATTTTGAGCCTAAATCTGCGATAGACAGTCTAGAATTTGCGGCTGTATCGTAGTACGAAGATAAATCTCCGGCTGAGTACTCAGACATTCTACTAGACTGTATAGATCGCGTATCTGATCCACCTCTACCACCCATCTCTGGAGTGGTTCCGTGTAATCCACGCTTTCTATAATACGCTGCTTTTCCACCTTTTATATTTTTCCTAAAATGTTCATCAAATGTTTCATCAGCACCTCGTTTAGATATTATTTCATGAACACTTGGCTGTATTTCTAAACCAAAAGGTAAGGTAGGAAGTTCATTGGCTGTGGGTTTAGGTGGGACATCCATCTTGGCTTTCCTCAACTCCTCTAGCGATACTTGTAGTTGGTCTATAACAGTATCATCATCATATTTAAAATCAGCCTCTAATTCTGACTGGAAAAATGGCAGCAAGTTGTCCATTCTTAGCTTCCTTATCTTTCCTGTTGATAACAAAAAGCCAAAATAATGTTCAAAATATTTATCAAATATTGACAATTTTTGTTGTTGAAAGATTTACCTGAAACTAGATGGTAATTATGTTCTTGCTCTCAGAAGTAAAAGCTGAGCTTTTTTTTGTAATATGTATTTTAAAACTGCTTAACTTTTAATATCTTGCAACAATTTTTATTGTGTTTGATTGGGTAATACTAAGTTGTTTTAAACTTTCCTCATACTGAAATTTTAATTTCTTTGCTTTCAATAATTACTTGTGGTACATTAGAAACATTTGACAACAAATAACATGGCAGGTGCATAAATAGTACAAAAATATACTTCTTTCTAAATAAGTGCATGTATGTTTTAGATCAACATTTATAAAAGAATTCTTTAAATTATATATTGTGTGCATTCTTGTGAAAAGAGTAAAAAAATTACCCTAAAATTATATTTTAATTGTTCCCAGGAAAATAGAAAAAATCTTAAAAATTGCTCTCCTAAGAGAACTATTTTGTAAGATCACTTACGTCTATGAAGTTTAACAATGGTATAACTCATGCCAGTGAGTATTCTCTCCCCTTCCAACATAAATATATCCCATACTCTTAATGTCAATGTAAATGGAAGCTGAAAAACATAGAAAACATTACTTTTAAGATAAAATGGAAATAAAGGCAATGAAAAACATAAATTGATAATGCAAATTTCTGTTGGTTTTTTTTCCTTAGCAACAAATGCTATTAAAATTGGGAATTTTTGACATGGTAACCATAAGGGGATTAGAAGTATTTAACAAGATGTTATGTCCAGTGTTAAATCTGTCCATCCACTGACAGAAACAGACGACAAAGCCAATATAGCCTTATAGGTGGATGTACAACTGCTATTGTGTTTCAATTTAAATCTGTTTACAACTGATCACAAATCATATATCTATCTAAATAAATTATATGTATTTTTTTCGAGCATGTAATCAACTAATAAAACAACACAATTTAGTCCTTACCCTATCAAGGAAACACTGGAGGAAATATTTTATTGTGTAGAGACCTGAATCTATTCCTTCCTTCTCCTGAAATGTTCGAAACAAAAATTGCTCCTTGAATATGAATATGTATCATTTCATAGTAATAATTATAATAATCTGGCTATTTTATATCCCTTTCATTATTGCCACATGCATTCAAATAGTTCAGTGAAACTAGTAATACTAGTTATACACAAACTACAATACTCTCTTTGTTTACTTCATATGCAATTCAAATTCAATTATAAAGTTTCATTAAGTTATATAATAAAAGTAACTTTTTATAACAGTGAGAAACAAGTGAGAAAATCATCAGATATTGCTTGTTTTGTTTTCACAAACACCTAATGACATTGAATTTATTTAACAAAGATCAAACTGAAAAATATAACTCAAATAATAAGCAAGGAAAATAATAAAACAAAGAATAAATGATGACAATTACACATACCAGATGTCTGCGAACTTTCGGGTAAAATTTCTTTAACACATTATCATGATGTTCCTGGAATCTTAATAACTTTGGAAATTTTGGTATAAATAAACCTGAAACACAGAAATGTAATATTTATACCTACAGTCAATGGTCACATTGCTCTTACTAATGCAGGTCATAACACAAAGTACGCAATAACTATTCTATTTTTTAATTTTGTACAGATTTTTTTTATCATTAAATTATCTTTATAAAGTATATTTTTTATCTCATTATCTTCAATATCCATATCATTTTTCTTATTTTACAATGCTTTATTTTCTAACTATACTGTAATATTTTGTATATTTGTTATATACATGAGCATAGAGATATCAACTCAAAACCTGCTAGCGGTGGCAGATTCTATACTGATACCAGTGCAGACCAAGATTAGCAGGTACCCTAGTGCTATCTGATCATGATCTGCACTGTTTGCTTGTGAAATTTTCCCTTAAAATTATAAATGGTTTTGTCCAGAATGAAAGATGGACAAGTCCATATAAGATATTTAGTGTAGTAAGAGTGAGTATCACAAACTTTACATAATGTATAACATACCATGCATGCCATGTTTTTTATCTGTAAATAACTGTGATAATGCCCAAAATGCATCCTGTAAATATAAAATATAGTAAATATGTTACATTATAATCATTCATCACCTGACATTGACAATTACTTTTTAATGTAAATATACCAAAAAAACATGTTTTGTCTTTAATATTTGATAAATTGTTTCACATCAGCTTCTTCAGATTTTTTTTTACAGTATGTTACAGATTAAATAAAGAACGCACCTCTTCATTAAGGTACATGAGAAGTAGTGCTGCTATTTCACTCATCCCCTGGCAGTACCCCACCTCTGTATTATACATAGAATATGCTGCCAGAACATGAAATAATGCTTGTTGCCTGAAATACAAAACATACGTCTGTCTTAACTTACTATGTACTATCTAGAAAAGATACGAAACAAATTGTTACTACTTCTGTACAGCTATCAATATACACAATTCTTAATACATGTAGTATACATCTTATAATTTATTCATTTATTTTCTTTAGTCACAAAAAATGTTTTTTTCGAGTTTTTTTTTTACGTATCATGTTCTCAGTGGTAATTTCAAATGTTTTGATTACACATCAACTCTGTTTTTATACAAGAAAAGCAATAGCTCAGTGGCTAAGGTGTACGAGCTCTATGACAAGTGCCACCATTATATAACAATGTCATTGTATGTATATTTTTTACATCAATATAATATATTTTTAGTCATATCTCAGCAGCTGGTCCACCAAACTGACTTGTTTGGATTACTAACTGGTAATTGCTGATTCCTTAGCAATAAAACCAACTACTATACATGACTTATGAATCAGCTGTGAGAAACAAATAAACAATAAACTTGATGTCCATGAACAATTGTTATGGAGAAATAATGCCTCACCTAAGGATCTAACCAGCAACCCTTGGACTATAAATCTAATAACACAGACACTAGAACTGGCTAGCATAAAATTAACGCTATATAATCAATAAAGTTAAATTGTACAAACATCCAACAAAGACAATAAATTCTTGTATTAACTGTTCCCATTGCACAGATTCTATATAAATTTCTTAATGTTACAGTAGTAAACTACAGCAGTATAGAATTTAACACTGTATGGTAATATAATATTAAAACTATAACATGTACATACTTGACACCGTATCGTTCACGAAACATGATATGATTTCTGTACGTCCTATTAACATCCAGGTCAATCTGGCGGATATGTGGAGATATTGAACGAGCCCTACTCCTCATACGCTGTAACATACAATACACAGGTATAAATTAACTCACTGGATAATAAAAAAAAATTTGTTGGGTTTAACACTGCATCAACACAGAATAGGTCATATAGAGACTTTCCAGCTTTACTGGTTGAGGAAGACCAAGGTGCACTTTCATGCATTATTTTAGTCATGAAAGGGCTCCCAAATAGAACCACCAATTTTCCGTAATAATGCTAGAAATTATGACCGACTGCTTATAAATATCAATAGTTTAGAGCTGTACAAGCCTCTACATTCTAGCACACTGAGCAGACCAAATTAACCAATAATTGATTGTTTGATTTTAACATTTAGACATTGAAATCCCTTCAATTAGTAACAATGGTATTTAATTTTAATAACTTAACAGCAGTCAACTCAAGTACACAAATTTAAAATTTCAACTTATCTCAGGTAAATTATTATATTACAGAAACTCAAGTTTTCTAGATCTAAAATTTGAAGCTTCTGTTTTCATATTTATGTAACTGCTTAATTAAAAACTTAGCATATTCAATTTCCCTAAAAAAAAAAAAAAAAAAGACAGAACTGAAAATGAATTATATGTCAATTAAATCTGAAATATCTGAGAAAAATTCTTAATTAAGACTTCAATTCTTGAAATGTTGATGCATTAATTAAAACCACAAACCTCCATTAACAGAAAAACAAACTATAATATTACAACCTTGAAAAAGTTTTTTCTTTCATTTACTAATAATACAAATGTACAGGTATTCCACATCTCTAGCATTATGGTAGGAAAAGTTGGTGAAAAACTAGTGTAAATTATATAGAAAACTTTGTGTGTTTAACTTTAAACTAGGTCTTACATGTAGTAGTGACTATCTACAATGTAGATGACACTAAATCATGATATACCTTTATTTTTAATAGTATTCACAATTTTAAACATGTTTCATTATGCACTATATATATTTAATTAAAGCAATGAAATATACTCAACAGACACGAAGTTAACCAACTTAAGAGAAAAAGTAGCAACAATTCTATGGATATTATTTATAGTACGAGCATGTGAAAAAAACCCCAATAGTTTTACAATGAGAAACTCTAAACACAAGAAGTGTTGAAGAAAAACTTGATGTATTTAGAACACTAAGATAAACTGTGAAAGCTGAAGAGCCTTAAATATAGTGTTAGAAATCTTCAGTGGGCCATATACAGCCTAAAATCATCTTGTATGTTCGATACTAGCACATATCATATAATTTCGATTTTTACCATAATAATAAGTTAACCTACCTAATCTTCAGATAATAACATTGTATTTAGTAAACATTATATTACATTTCAGGATTGCATATATCATTATGATATCAAAACTAACCAAACTGTCTTAGAAAACAAAACAGTATGCCAAAGGCTCTGATCACTTCATTCAATGGTCAAAAGACTAATCTTGCCCTGCCCATATGTAGTACTTCTCATAATACACAAGTATTTTATCTAATTTCATATTTAGTTTCATTACTGATTTCAACTATTTTTACCAACAATTTTTACAACTTCTTTTTTAACTCTGATTATATCTTTTTTTATAACGAGTATACATACAGAATAGACACCATCTTGTTCTGCTTTGACAAAGCTAACACCCAGTAGTTTACACCATATGTCACCTCTCAATTTGTCCGGTATACCTTTATATATTCTTCTTGTTAACTGAAATAACAACAAAGAATATGTATATCTAAAACATTTATCAGGTAAAGTAAATGCCCTTCATAAACTATTCTTTTTTTAGCAACACATAAATCATATGGCTTTAAAACACCAAAATTTTAATATGTATGTTAAACCAAAAATCTTCAAATACCTTATAATATCCTACCACTGCCACCTAACTACTTTTTTCCCATTAAAGATATAAATTCTTTGGTCTCAATAAAATATCAATGACCAGTCTATCAAACAGACCAAAGAAAAACTAGTTGAAATATATATCATAAAATGTATAATGAATAGTCAAGACCAATTATCTTTCAAAAAATCTCTCAAATATCTATTATGTATAAAAATAAACAAGAGCTGTCACAGGAGACAGTGAATCTCGACTAAGTAAGGAAGAGAAAACTATGAAATAAAAATCAATTATGATACAAATATATTTCTTCTTATGAAGATAAATTCCAATTTCAAGGGGAAAAATCCTGGTTATAGTCACACTAGAGTTAAGGACCTTGTCACACAACATTTGTGTAATGATAAGAAATATATATTTGAAGTTTGAAGTAGATACCGTTAAAAGTAAAGAAGTTATTATATTTCTGAAAGAAAATTCTAAGTTCAAAGGGAGATAAATCTGAAAATAATGCTTTAAGAGTTAAGAACCTTGTCACAGAAGATCTGATTGATGATAAGGAATATGTATTTGAACCTTGAGGTAGATACCTTTAAAACTAAATAAGTTATAGTAAAATATAACATTATTCAAGCCAAAAAACTGTAAGTTAATGGGGAGATAATTCTTGCAATATTGGTGCTAGAGTTACGTAATATGTGGTTAATGATAAGGAACATATATTTGAAGTATGAAGTTGATCCCTCAAGAAATAAAGAAGTAAAAGAAAATTTTTTATATTTTTTAAGGAAAATTCTATGTTCAAGGGGAAATAAATCTGAAAAAATTGGTGCTAAAGTTATGAACCTTGTCACATAAGATGTGTTTGATGATAAGGAACATATGTTTGAAGTATGAATGTGATCCCTTAAGAAATAAGGAAGTAACAGTAAAAAAATAATATTTTTAAAGGAAAATTCTTAGTTCAAGGGGAGATAAATCTTAAAATATTTGTGCTAGAGTTATGAACCATGTCAAATAAGATGTGGTTGATAATAAGGAACATATATTTAAAGTATGAAGTTGATCCCTTAAGAAATAAAGAAGAACAGTAAAAAATAATAATTATATGGACAATTCTAAGTTCAAGGGGAGATCAATCTGAAAATATTGATGCTAGAGTTAAGAACCTTATCACATAAGATGTGGTTGATGATAAGGAATATATATTTGAAGTTTGAAGTTGATACCTTAAGAAATGAAAAAGTTATAGTGAAAAATATTTTACTGCACCAAAACTTTAATCTGAAATCTGGACGCTGACGCCGGGGCGAGTAGGAGTCGAGCTAAAATTAAAGCAACTATTTGCCTACAATTTAAAAGAGAAAAGAAGTAATAGATACATTGAAAAAACATAAATCAAAAACAAACAAACCTTCTCCCCTGGATAATATTTCTTCCAATTTTTCATCATTTTCACCCATTTTGTTGTTCTTTCTAATTCTACCTGTTTTGTCTGAAAAGATTTTTTTACAAAGATCAAGATTTTTTTTGTATGTCTACAGCACATTGTATTATCACTCTGTATTATACGGGTAATCAAAATTTTGTTAACAAGACGATGTACATATGTATTAGTCTGTAAATAAAATTCTGTTCTGTAATCAAAATTGTTTCTAGATTCCAGCTTAAGTTCTTTGTGAAAGTTACTACTAAGCATCATTATCAGTTTAAGTTGATAATTGACCTATCCTGATTTGAAAAAGAGTGATCTCATTATAACAAGAGCGATCAGTGATCACATGTGTCGCCTCATGATGGCCAATTTCATGTTGGGACAAGTTTTGTGACACACGGACAGACAGACGGACAGTGCACAACTACACTTGGTACTGATCATTCCTGTAAAGTTTGAATGAAATTGCACAAGAAGTTTATGAGGAGTAGTCCGAACAAGCTTTTGTGTATCTGGCAACATACAGAAAAAAACACCTTTTTATCAAAGGGCCATAACTCTGCCAAAAATCATTCAACCGGAAAACCCGTGCAATATGCGCAAGGACTTGAGCTACAGATCAATCCTGTAAAGTTTCATTGAAATTGCATTAGTGGTATAAGAGAAGTAGTCCGGACAAACTTTAAAAATAAAAATTATTAAAGGGCCATAACTCTGACAAAAATCATTGAACCGGAAAATGCTGACAATATGCACAACTAGACTTGGTACTGATCATTCCTGTAAAGTTTGGATGAAATTGCACTAGTAGTTTATGAGGAGTAGTCCGGACAAGTTTTGTGACGGACGGACAGACAGACAATGGAGAAGTGATCCCTATATGTCGCCACTACTCCGTAGAGGCGACACAAAAATGCTAAAATTATAGCAGTCAACCATAAAGAGCCTTGTTGAAATGTAAGTCTAGCTTGACTCTGTACTGATGGAATTGGTTAAATTTCTCTCCTTTTTTGTTGGAAAGTAACAAAGACTGTAAATAAGGCTAATTTCCAGTTATACTTTAAGAAGACCGCGGGTCCCCCTCTGGGAATTTTCAAGCACAAGCAGGTACCTGAGCAGAACCACTGACCTACCATTAGGTAGCTGAATAAATTATCCCACATGAAAAAATTCCATAGACCCAATAGGGATTCGAACCAACAGTTGTCTGGGGCAAGTGATTTTTTCATCTGTGACTCTAACCACCTTGCCACAAAGATCCCCTAGTTTATTTAATTATTATAATGTTTTGTGAAATTGTAGAAAGGTGGAACTTTCAAAGCACAAACCTTGACTTCGGCAGCATCTGTCATATGAGGTAGGGCTTTGTTACTGAAATTATATTATTATAATACACTGAAAAACATGCATACACAGTCATAAAATATTACTTTTCAAATGAAAGTTTCCTTGTATAGTATACAAATGATGTTAAGTGCTAGTGCATGGGTAAAAGTTGGAAATTTTAAAAATCCTGAAAATCCTGAATTTAGCAGTTTTTCTATAATTTTAAATAGAAGGCTTTCAGGAGACTGAGAATCCTGAACTTCAGGAAAATTCCTGAAAACTTTTACCCTTGCTATATTGACTGATGTTTTATACATTTTATGTTAAATTTTTTGGGATTAACCTCCTTATTTACATGTTACACCTTTATTCATCAATACATCATGACTGCGGAATAGCCACTTGTAACAGTTAAACATTCAAATATATGTCACACAACACTTGACAGTATAGTCTATTCAAACTGCAGGATACATAAGACTAATCTAGGTCTATACTAGTGTCATTGCTGACCAACTTAAACTAAACTATCAAACTGTTCAATTCAAATGACATACAATTATCCCATCAGACATAACCAGAACATTTTAGGAAGTATAACAGAACTGTAGTACATGTGTCATGTACAGAGAATTAATATCATAGTATAATTAACTTCTATGTTTTATAAAAAAAATTCCTATAAAGTTCTACATAGAAGTTAAGCCTGGGAAAAAGGTCAGTATGGAATTATTCAATAAATTGTATAACATGATTTTTTTTATCAAATAATCTTATAATGTATTAATAACTTATCATGTTTCATTTCTAACTGAAACTAAGCATATCAACATTTGAAACAGTTAATCAGGAAATATATAAGGATGTAAACAGTTCAGATAGTCATAAGAGAGGAAATATTTATATTTAACCTTTGACCTCTCTAGTTTATATGTAACCACCTATTCTACATCAGGTAGTCAGTGGTTTAGTTCATGTCTGTGTCACATAAATGTTTAAAGTTTTCATGATTCTTGATCTTAGTATACTACCCGGTAGTTTTAATTATTTTACATCAACTAAACACTTACAGCAGTACTCCTCTAGATTACTGTTAACTTTTAAGAAAACTCTTTAATGTTTCACTATAATGTTTCATCTTTTACTCTTCTGAGGGTTGGGCTGCTTTAAAGCAAGATTTATTATGACACAGAATTAAGGGAATGAAATAAAATCTCATTTTTGAACCGGTATATTATTTCATTTTTTATCTGGTATAGAATTTCATTTTTTCCATTGGTATATAAAATAAGTATAAAATAAAGAAAGTGGAGTCCACTTACTGAATAAATCCATATCTGTCTGTAACCTGGTACACCTCAAAAGTTGGGTCTTCCCAGGGGTCAATTTGAGCCCCCTCTTCACGTCCCTAAACATTGTAAAATTATTAATTTTTTTATTTTAGCACACAGAGCAATAGAATTAATTATAATTAACTACATGTTAATTGAAAACTACCATAGCTGCATACTTGTTAAAAGATTAACAACAGCAATTTAACCAGGACTATGTAAGAAAAAATTTAAGGGAATAATTTATTCAAAATCCATGCAAGAGCTATGGATCTTGCATAAAGATTTGCATTTATGATCCAAAAGACATGTATAAAGTTTTCAGTGAATACCTGCTACAGTTTGAACAAGCAATTAATATCTATGTATCATTGTCACACAGTAAACTATTTACACTATGGTTTATGTTATTTCACTTCACATGCTTAAACTTGTTAAACCACTGTTCAATTCTTAAGGTAAAGGTAATAAACGGAGTTGAAATAACATAAAACGGTTATAAAATTAAACAGTGCATCCTATTTGCTTTACTTGTAATGTTGTATATAACTGTGTATAAATTCTGTAACATACAAACTGCTGTATATCATCTTGTCAAATTTCTATGACATTCAAATTAATGTATAAATAACATACCTTATCATATTTGGCAACAATCTCCTGACGTTCCAAGGCTGCCCTCTGTAACTCCTCATATTCGTCCAGGCTCAGGGCATCTGTAATATTATCACAATATTATTACTCTTCCAAATACATACATATCATTGCTACTTCGTACTTGTTTCACAGATTTTTTAATCGCCAATATTTATTCAAGCTTAACCAGACTAACAAGTATGATCAAAAGAGGAAACATGTTTGGAATCAAACTTGGCTTGGATACACTTCCCATGGAAACTAAAGTACTTCCCATGGAAACTAAAGTACTTCCCATGGAAACTAAAGTACTTCCCATGGAAATAAAGTACTTCCCAGGGAAACTAAAGTACTTCCCATGGAAACTAAAGTACTTCCCATGGAAATAAAGTACTTTCCAGGGAAACTAAAGTACTTCCCATGGAAACTAAAGTACAAAGTTGCTGACAGCAGCATGTCTCAAGATTCACACTAATTATCATGAAGATTTTGAAAATATATTTAAAAGTTAATTATTTTGAAGGGAACAAACAAAGTAATTCACAGTACCACATTGCAAATGGCACTTACAATCCATGTAAAGTACCAAATAGTCAAAAATATGCAAGAATAGTCCTTCCTGTGTTAGTCACAAATATGGTTATAAATACTGCAAAACCAGTTAAATGTATCAACAACTCATCACATGAATCATGAATCACATTACTTTTCTTAAAATCTAATAGAGAACATTTTCCACAAGTTTGATTTTCACATCTGTTTAAACCCCCACTCCCTCTTTAATTATCTGTAAAAATTGTAATAAATAAGGTAATATTCAGTTCTTAAATAAGATGTAGATAACTCCTACTGAGATGTTAACCTTTTCCTCTTTGATGTTAAATGTTGTACTTTATGTTGTACCATTTTACACAGTATGAATTTTTATAAAGAAAAAAAAAACAACATACATAGTATTAATTTATGTACTGATTTCATGATCAAATTACCACATACATATAATATTTATTAAATTTCCTGATACTGATGAAATTGTCACAATATGTGAATGATACATTATGTACATTTTTATAATACTAGTGATTTTCATACAATTTTTTTGGGGCATTGGTCTCTGTCTACCAAATTTAGAAAACAGAGATCACAACATAAAACTGAAGGTAAATTTGGGGAAAAACTGTGTTAACAATGTTGCTAAATAGAAAATTCTTCAAAATCTTTGACATCATATGGAAAAAATTGAAATTTTTGGCACTTTCTGCACTTGTCTAAGGAAGGTTGTGTAAGGCAGGAGAAAATCAGGAATGTTTTCACAGTTTACATAATTAGACCTAGATTAAATAGAATGGACTATGAGATTTTTCTGCAGTTTATATTTTGTAAAACACCTTCCCATTTGTTACGCATATCAATCAATCGTGCATATATGTCCATGTGTATGAACAAATTTCAATTTTGAAAAGTGGAGTGGTTAAATAAACCACACAGGTAATTTTAATATTCTCACATGTCAAGCATTAAGTGGCTTCAAATGATTGTTATATATTTCACAAAGTTACAAACTGGCTCTAATACCATTATTTAAACGTTTTAAAGTCATGTTTGACGTTTTAAAGAAAGGGAAAAAATATTCTTTTTAAATGAGGAATAACGTGACTTTAAACTATCAATATCATGTCCCACATTTGAAGCACATTTCCTTGATTGGCTTGCATGCCATTCATTGATCAAGTATGATAAAAAATCTTATTTGAATAAACCTCTCTCATTTTAAAATTCATTATATATCAGATTACAATACTGTTATCACATTATGTCTAATTACAGTTTATCTAAAAATATCAATACTGATAATCATTAAAGTATTAAATTTAAACAACACTTACCCATGTCCATGTGTCACAAAATCTTTTACATTTTTCTGGCACTAATGTTTCTTCATTCTAAAATATAAATTACTATTTTATCACAAACAATCTATTTTTTAGTAAAGTAATTCAATTTTTTCAAGATTATAGATGTTATCAAGCTTACTCTCCATTACAAACAAACTTTTGTTACAACAGCTTCAAGGTGCACTGCCGTTCATGAGAGTGATCAACCTGTTGTGCTTATCTTTAATATATCAACCATTATTCAAAATTAACATTCAAAGATCTTTTGTTTGACTAAAAAGGAAACAAACTGCAATATACAATATATAGCAAGTATGTCTCATCCTATTACAATCATAAAGCCCAACATTTTTTATGGTGAAGTCAGTTCTAAGCTTTATACTCTGAGGGTTTTTAGCATGACAGTAAATTTTTTTTTCTTCGAGATTTGTGTACTATAAGATGCAAGCTTGGACCAATAACTTGTTTGCAAAATTCCAGATCAATTGCTCAATCAGTTTCTGAAGGATAATTATTTTAATTGCGCCTTTAACTCAATAATTTTGCATAATTTTTCATTTTCTTTCCCTCACATTATCTTTGCAAGAAGTTCAAATTTTATGATTCAAGACTTTTGCATGGCTTTGGTATAGTTATCATTAAACTTTTTAAAATACATGTAGATTCTTAACAAACATATTGCCAAAGGTCATGATTACCCCCTATATCCAGTTATGTCAGGCATTGATCGATTAATGTGGGGCGTGACCATACAAATTTACTTGCCCTTCATAAAATGAACTTGACCAGTATTTTGACAGACAAAATTTGTTCAAATTTACTACTTACTGTCTATATAGGAATAATCTTCTATACATACAAATACATATTGTTTACAATACTTTTCATTTTTTTAATTTATGATCTTCGACATAGCGGCCAGAAAACTTATTTCATTCAAATTCTAAGGCACTCGGCTAAAATATCGACCTTATGTCTCAGTATAAGACATTACCAAACATGTCTGTATAAAACATTGTCGTTTGCTGCTGTCGTCGAATTGATTCACCTTACGTGTTCGGAAAAGTTTTACATTTTGTCAGGATGTTCGTTTGACCTGTGAAAATTCTGAAATGCACTCATTTGACCCGTCATAAAATCAGCTCTCCTGATAATTTCTGATGGACGCATGGAAACTTAACTGTTTGTCAATCAACAAGTGCCAACGCAAAAATTTCGCATTCACAAAACAATATAGGTTTGATCCTTAAAAATTTTGTGTGACGGATCATTGACCCTTGAGTTTCAGAGTCTACCGAACACCCTCTAAGTCATACAGTCAATTTCCGGATTCGTTTGACAGTATTACAGTTATTATTGCAGTTTGGTTCTCATAAAGAATTACTTCATTTATAAATGTTTAGAGAAACATTGGCTCAGGAGAATCTGACTCGCCCTGGTGGGTGAGTTTGATCAATTTTCTCTCTCGCCGGATGCAAACTTTCACTCGCAAATGCGAGTGGGCAAATGGATTTGTCGAGGCCTGAATTTGTATTTCATGTTTTTAGCTCAGTATGTCAAGGAACTGTCAAAAGAGAGGACCTGAGATAATATTATCTAATCAGTGCATCACTCCATTGTCACTGTTTCATGTAAACAGAAACAAAAATGGCAGATGAAAACCACTGCTGTTTCACTGGCACCATGAAAATCTAATCATGCTGTCATTATGCTAGGCAATATTTTGTGATTTGGGGTGGAGGTTGAGATTGGAATAGATGACAAGTTATGTTATATGAAGTCGGCAACAAAAGTCAAAGCTTTCGCAATACAATTTTCATGTTTCACAAAATATAATTTCAAACACATAAATTTAAATTTTGTTTGTTCTGTAAAGAAACACTTGTTACTTTTATAACATTATTAGACTTTTTCCATGCGGAATGATTAATCACACAACACCGGATTCCACAACACATCATTGACATAAATGAAAACAAGATGTTCAGAACAATAATCATTTCAATTTTATAAAACCATTCATACTTACGCGTCAAATAATGAGATCTAAATATCGTTCCCTTCACCGTAGGAAAAAAAAACATGACAAAAATGTCAACTGAAAATGAAATCAGCGAAGTGACAAAATAATTATGAATGTAAACAGCAGAAATATTGAGGTCAGAGTAAGATTTGACAATTACTGACTTAAGTAAACTTGTCAATCGATTTATAAGCAATCGATTTACAAGAACATTAAAAAAATTAAAAGAAAGAGGCGTGGTTGAAACGTTAAATACCTTGTCAAAAGTAGTAGGTCAACTTCTTAGCTGGAAAAGTCACGTGACGTCATAAATACACCACCAAGGCTCAGTTTCGTATTTTCGCTTAAATTGTGTTGGATTATTTTAAACATTTGCTTAAGGTAACACTTAAAATAAAATGAATATAATATTGAATATTTTATTTTAATTTTGAATAACAACGACTAATCAATGAAATACGAAAATAAAAACACCAAGAAGATGTCTTAATAAAGCCAAAGATATTTTTACTACGACATGTACGTTTTTTTTTCTTTTTGTAGATATCATGCAAACTCTTGGGCACTTGTTTTCAATATTTTCATAGAGCAATGTATTTATAGCTATGTGGACATCTTTGACTAGTTTTATAACCAGATGATATCAGTAATTTTTCTGATTAAATAAGCAACATAAATTATTTTATTAACATTACGTAAATATGGTATTAACTGTCTTATTTTCAAAGGGATGTCACTTAAAGTATTCATCATATTTAAGACTGAACTTGTGTTGTTAAAACGATTTAGTTGTTTATTTCAAACAAAATTTAAGTGTTTGACCCATTTTTTTTGAAGAGTGATGCCCCGTTATTTTTCAGAGTTTACATTTGATTAGTTATAGGTTACAAATCTAAAGCTATAATTGGGCATGTTCATAAAACAGGACGTACATTGTACTACGTACACTTTATGTTATATAGCATTTGGACCATTAACTATAAATAAATTGAATGTATAGAATTTACTGTTAGGTAAAATTAATTTTATGTTATATACATGTATCTAGGGGTATTTTACAACGATGGTCAGAATAGTCGACCGTTGCATTTCTTTAGAAAAAAATCTAGCATGTATCCTGGTTGTTCTATCTACCTGGAATGTAAGCCTTATTTTGCCCACCATCATATAATACAGAAAAAATCCACGATAAAATACTTATTTACTGTAGAGGCTACCATTTTTTGATAAAAATAACAATTATCCAAAAGAAATTTTAACTATATGTAGAATATGGTTTGGGTAAAATAGATGACCAACTCTGACTGGGTGTTCAATATTTATTTTGATGATGTGTAAATTAAACCTATAAAATGAATAAACAATTATAAATACATGAAATACAAAACACAAATTAAAATACAAATTCAATATCAATATCATTTCAACATTTCACATTTCAAATAATTCTAACTATTTAATTCATACACTTCATTACATTTCTTTTAAGTTATTTAAAGTAAAACATATCTTACCAGGTGCAACTGGCTGACCTCTATTATATAAAATAATATCAAATCCGTTCTATAAAGAACAAACGTAAAGTTGATTTATATAAATAATTCAAAATGTTCTATGAAGAACTACTGAGGTTAACTTTACAATGCAAAGTATGAAAATGATTTCTGCCTTAGAAAAGGAATGTTAATTTGCCCATGTATGAAATGATATGAAATCACTCTCATCCAATCACATTCTTACTTAACAAATATACAAGATATTTATTGAACATCACTTAACAACACAGGACATAACAAGGACATAACAAGAGACAGTTCACTGAGCATAGTAACTCGCAACAAGAACAAGACACTACCCATAATTCTATAATGATGAATGAAAATGATGTCATGTGATTATGCCTGAATGAATGAAAATGTACAGTTAGTTATTCACTACAGTGATTACAACTGTGTTTGTAAATATAGGATGAGTATACAGATAGGCAGTTAACTGACCTTATCTACATATACATCAAAAAGATATAGTTCTTTAAATAACCTTATATGAGTGTTATTGATTGTGGCCTGATGCATGCAAATATGTTTTTGGGTAGTTGCTCATTTGTTGGCCTTGTAGATCAGGAATAGGGATAATGAAAATTGTATTTTCAACGTATTTCCAATAAGATACTTTTATTTGAACAATGTACATCATTTAGTATTAAAAGGAGCATATTTGACAAATGTTGCGGCCGGTAGATCGTTAGTACTGTCATAGAGAGGGCACATCTTAAACTCGCATGGACTCATCTCCCAGGCGAATCTTACTGCTACCACAAGGCTCATGTTACCATGACAGCCAGATGTATCGATGGTTACTGTACTTTGATCGTGAGCCACAATTGGAGCCGGTGTCCAATGGTTGTAATGACACGTGTGATTGAAATTGTTCCCACAACAAAGCTAGAAAGACACTTTGAAAGTTATTTAACAATTAATACGTAGTGTATGTTTTTTTATTCAAATAACTTTCACAAAAGCATTTTAAACAATGTTGATGTCAAGTACTGGCATAAATTATTTCTCCAGGACAACATTTTGTTGTTGTTGTTGTATTTTTAAAATAACAAGATTATACAAAAAGAACAAAAAACAAAACAGGAACATGGAACAGGTACTTGCAAATAAGCTACACCTTATACTTGATGAACGTTAAAAGAATAAGTTTACCTCAAATCCATCAGTTTTTCTCACTTCTATAGCACTGTTACCATGATCAAACTCTATGACAAGTTTATTTTCAGTAAGGGTTAAGTCAGTCGGGATTGGACCTTGGAAGTCTAAGTTTTTCTCGTTGTAAGCAACAGCCCTCCCAGCTAAAGCTAGCCGCTTAGCAACATCCTGTTTGTCCCTTGGATGAATTCTATTGAACATATAACAGAAGTTGTGTTTTATGGAAGACAGAGAAGGAAAAACGTAATGAAAGTAAATATGATTCTACATCTCAACAAAGTTAAAGAAAAAAACGCCATCCAAATAAATAATAATTATGTCATGCTTTTAGATCCTATTTGTTTTTAACAAATTAATATTGTATTGCTTTTTATCATACGTTCCAAAAGTTGAATTATAATCTGGAAGGTCCATTGCAACAGCCATGAATACATTCTGAAGACGTGGGTTTGGAACATAACCATATTTGGCAGTCTGAGACCAGCGTAGGTCCGGGAATCCAAAGTGTAATGTCTTGTTTGCATTGGCAGCTAACTGAAATCGACAAATGGATAATAACAATTATAAATCAAAGCACAGAATGTGCTGAATTTGTTTGGGTCTCAGAATGTCAGAAAGGTGAAGGTTGTGAGATTATAAACCAATTTGTTTTTGTATAATGCCAGCAATGCTTTCCAGTGTTTTAACTGTAGTAAATTGGCTATAAGACTAATTGCAACACTGATATTCAATTCAATGTTTATTTGACTTAAACAATTTAAAAAACCTCTCGTTTCCTAAGCGAGCGTGCAAACCCCTCGGCCACGGTGAAGTTATAATTATGTTAACGGCCTGAAGAAAACCATATTATTCTAAATTAGGGTTTGTAACTTTTATTATTTCGACGCTAAACCTGTTGTTTAACACAGATGTAAATAATCATGGAGCTTACTATAAGCATGTTTATCTATAAAGAATAAAATAATATTAGAAATCTTCGGCCATTCGGGAACTATTTTGCTTGAAAATTAATGCGCCTGTCATTTGACGATCTTTACGCAGTTATTTCCCCTGAATTTTTCGGCGTTAGTATACATATAAAGGGAAGTAACCGCTTCAAAAAAGCGGACTACTTTCGGCATTTGCAATTAACAGCATCAGGGTCCGACATTTTGCTACCATTATTTGTTTGATCTGACGACCCAAACAAATAAAAACTAACAAAAGACGAAAGCAACGCCGAATCTGTGCAAAGCTATTGCCAATACGAGTAACACGGTAAGTAAACGGACCAAGATATTAATTTTGACGTCAATTAGATAAGCGCATACGGCTGCTATTACATTATGCTTTAACCAGCATTAAAAATATTTTTTTACTTTTCTAGATCATTCGTGAGAATAACGACACCGTGTTTTAGGTGATATTTTGCGTTTCGTTGAAATTAATAACTACAATAATGCATTTAAAACTCTATTTTCATTATATTCGGTATACCATAGACATTTGCCAAAACACTTGTGTCATACAAAATGATATAATACTAGTGGGAAGCTGATATAATAGGATTCAGCTACTGTTTAAATGAGGTGTACAACATTTCTTCTATACATCATTCAAGAAATCGGCGTTACTTCAGTCATTATTTATCTGCTAATTTCAATATAATATGGCACAGTTGTTTGGCAAATGTCCAAAACTGTAATGTAATACATACGTTATTGTATTTAAAGATATCGATGTCGCTATCAGGTCGCCATTCTCACGAATGTTCTTGAACGATTCGGCGAGGTTTAAAACATAATGTCTAAGCAACCGTATGCGCTTATTCGTTTCTTTCAATTTGATTAACTCTAAAATATACCGATTCATTTTCTTTCCGTGCTGCTCGTTTCGGCCATAGAATTGCACAATTCTGCGTTACTTTTGTACAAATCTGAGTTACTTTTGCACAATTCCTGCGTTAGTAGATATACACGGTGATTGTTGTAATCGTAAGAGTATAAACAATTTTTGTCATGTCACGTTTGAAAAAAGGAGCATTTTTATACAAATGTATGGAGTCTGAAATCTTTTGAAGAAGAAAATCCGAAATAGAGAAACGGAAGCTTGTGTTGGTTAATATAATTTACACAGTTATATTAAATACGTACTTGCACAAACCCAAACGGAAATTGTTGGTTTGTTTGGTGTTTAGAGGCAATGTTGAATTTAGACCTCCAGTCGTCAATCATGGCCGGAAATTGGCATGCATAGGCATCCGGATGGCGGATATTTGCTTCTCCTATAAGGTACATAAATGTATACATGTACTTATGTTTATAAGGCGAAGTATCTAAGGACTCTTTAACCTATTAGTTTACTTTGTAAATTAAAAAGACTTTTTTAATAATGTATTTTTTTTATTTGGGTTTTACGTCACATCGACACAGTATAGGTTATTTGGCGACGTTCCAGCTTTACTGCTGGAGGAAGACCTTAGGTGCCCCTCCGTGCATTTTTTCAGGCACGAACGGGCACCACCCGAGTAGAACCACCGACATACACTGACAATACTGGCAAAAAATTATATATCAATAATAAAAGTTCAATTTAACAAGAAATAAACTAAACGTTCAAATACAAACACACATGTATTTCAAAAATAAGGACTTTGTAATAATACAAGTAAGTTTATTTCATGCATTAATAAAGTGCTGTTATTTTATCTTTGGAAAGTCAATATTTTTTTATGTTATAGTTACCGGTATGTGATTTATCTATGAAGTATATAATTAGTTAGGCCTACCTTGATACCATATTGCACCGTATATTGTCATCTTTAATAACGGGTTCACCATGGCATTCCATAATACACTGTTTTCATGGGGTGTTGCCCTAAAAGAACGAGTTTGAAAGCTATACAGTCTCTGTGTCACAACGCTAAATATGGTGATGCTTACAACATATATTCTATTATTCTAATTAAAATAGAAACCAAGAACAGTACATATGAGACATTAATACAGCACCATTTTACCAACAAGAAGGGAGAAATGATCAAGTGTCGAACTTCATATTTAGCTAAGTCTGACGTACCGTGCAATGTTTAACAAATCGAATTTCTGTCAAGGGACTCTGTAACAAACGTTGTGTTACAAAATGAACATTATTATATACCAAGGTGATGTGACGCTGTAAATACTTCTATACAACTTGATTAATGAACCCAATGCATGTCTTTACACCCTTCATGTTATCTATTGGCGACAGAAATCGTCCTCAGAAACGGTCCGACAATAAACATATGGAAATATGCGTGACATGATTACCTTTTTGTTTTAGATGTACAGCTAGCAATGGCGTCAGGAGAGGACCAGGCTTCTACTGGCGTTCCTCCCCAAGCAGTCTGTATAAGTCCGATTGGTCTGTTAATATGTGGAGCCAATTCTTCAGCGAACATAAGACATACCGCAGAAAAATACCTTGTAGAGCTGCCTGATTACCATTGGCGAAAATTGTACATGCATGTGTTAAAATAAAACACGTAACCCATAACAGTTAAACAAAATGATAGATTAGCTATAATGATATCATATTCGGTAAAATATCAAAGAAAAATCTGGTTTAACAGACCAAGTATTTTTTTGCTTACGATAGAAACGTACGATTTTGTAAAAATTATCTTTATCATTGTTAAGATGATTTGTATGTTAAGTTGCACAATATACATGTACCTGCAGGTGTCCGCCAGTGTATAGCAAGAGGTGTTTTGTCAACGGTTGTATTTGATGACCTTAGAGCGACTTTCATGATTCGGATGTTGTTGAAATGTGAGGAATGTTCTAACTCAGCACTGTTATTAAATACCTGACACAATCAATATTAGTGAATTAGTGAAATATTACGTCAATTTTATTACCATTCAAAATATACAACATGTTTTATTTATAAATCTATTTGAACAAACCTTATTGCATGCGCGTTTGCTCATCCTAAACAGACATTTATAAGATAACACGTTGCTCGTGTAAATATCAAATAAGAAGGACAAAGTTTGTCTAGATATGATTTTTGCATTTAAATCGAATATCTTACTTGTCCTAGCGTAAACGCCATATTGCTTTGGCCTGAGCAAATCCAAACATCTCCGAACAAAACATCCGTTAAAGTAGCGTGACCGTCGTTCGATCGTATATCAATCGTGATTGGACCGCCGGCTTTGTGAGCTGGCAGCAATGCCGACCATATTCCGCCGGCTTTGCCATCGGTTCTCTTGGCGACGGTCGCAGTAGCAGCAACAGTCCCGTTTAAGTCGACAGTGACTGTATCGCCTACTGAGGTAGCATACCCCCAAATCTGAGCTCTTGACGGAGCCATTTGTAGTACCATGTGACTTTCATAATAATCCGCAAACCGCAGGGTACCAGCCCCATCTTCATGACAAATAAGATATCAGTAGATTTGTTAACATCTCTTGAGCATTTGAACATATGTCTACGCTTGTATGAAATTGTGTAAGTTATATTTGAATTGATTAAAAAGTGTGTTTTTTTTAAAGAAAATAAGTACTATTTCTTTTATCAAGGTTTGCTTATTGATCGATTTGTAGCAATCACCTTTTTGAAATTTTGTTTTAGTGTTCATGAGGAATCTCCACTATTCCAAAACCTTTTTGACAACACTGTACACCCTTATTTTTCTGGTTTTTCAGAATTATTGATTCCAGTTATTTTGTCATTGAATAATGCTTAAGCCGGTGCTAGGAGGTGCAAGCGATGTTTCACTTTGCACGAACAGACACAATCAAATGTCATCGATTATTTAATTTTTTCCTGCTCTGGATGTAGACTACCCTTTCCAGAATTTCATTTTAATTGTTTTAGAAGAGAACACTATTAAATGAAAATCTTCTACTGTATTAAATATCATTTATCTTTTGATTTAACAGAACTATTTCAATATATCACACGAAACATATGACACTAAATCAAATATCATTTCATTTAAAATGGAAATATATTACTCACCTGTATTTGAAATACAAAAAAGCAAAACTATCACAAAATAATGAAAGATCATCGTGGAATCGACTGACTTATGAAAGTACCAGCAATATATCTGCAGTTTAAATTAAGTACTAAAGGTCAAATTCAAGCACACAAATGTCTACATACGAACTCATATACGTGAACTGTCTTATCAAATCATTGAAGTAAGAATATACAAATGTGTACATATTTCATTAATGCACTCTAATGAAATATTTTTGTAGATGTTTTTATTATCAGACTTAAGGAATCGTTTTATCTGTAAAACATTAATTACAATAATAGACACAATGTAGTAAAAATTTTAATAAATACATTCATAACTAGTCTGTAAAAAAGTAACAAATTACAGCGTAATGTTAAATATAATATTATTATATTTTTGTATATACATGTATTGCACTGTATTGACGTTTTTTTTGTAAGCTGTTGGAATATGTATGAACATCTTTGATGGATCATCTGAAAATTGAGCAAAATACAATGTATAACAAAGAGTAACAAATATTAACAAATAGGTAACACAGATCTCTCAAGCCTGTACCAGAAGAAATTGGAGTGAATGCCTTTACAAACTGATTATTCAGAATATTTGCCCTACTAGCAGGGTCAGATTTGAGATTGGTTAATTATGACTTGATGAATTAAAATATGTTTAAAGGATTATTAAGAGTAAAAAGTCGAGTTTAACCTATTTCTTAGAGAAACTGGCAACAAATATTATTTATCGGTTAGAATAGAAGAAATATATGCAAGTTGACAGTTTGCGGCGAATTTGGCGGGTTTTAAACTGTTCATAACATTCTTACGAAAGCACGCGATGCGACATACATACGTATGAACATACTCTTGAAAAAATACCATATAAGAAAAGTTATTTTGCAGACGGAGCTGGTATAAACTCGCTATAATTCGTAGGTTATTTATTGAGAGTGAAACCATAGAAATATATGCCATTCTCCATACATCATCATAGATAACTCCGGAAAACTTGTGTTGTCCTATACAGAAGAACTGATATTTAATGCCGAAATAGTGACTATTTGAGCCGCGTCGCGACAAAACCAACATAATGGGTTTGCGATCAGCATGGATCCAGACCAGCCTGCGCATCCGCACAGTCTGATCAGGATCCATGCTGTTCGCTATCAGTTTCTCAACTTGTTATAGGGTTTGTAAGCGATATAGTGACTATTTATGTTATGCTTAAATGCTTCTAGGACTAATAGTATCATAATATATATGTATAGAGATTTTTCAGACTACGAGAGTTATGTCCTGTATTGGCATACCACTTAGTAATAATCCTATAAATTGTATTTACATTTACAGGACACGATTTACGATTATTTATTCAATTATGAAAATGTTAAATATAAAAACGGTCATGGTAATTGATCTACATCTGGGACTTGAATTTGAGACTCGTAGAGTATTTAGGTCATATTATACACGACCTTTCCTTGTGTCACATCTTCAATAAAACTGACGAATCAAATAACTCAAATGTTTTACAAGATTTAGATTGTATTAGACATCACTTTCGACTTTAAAAATTATTATTTTATCATTAATAATTATGTTTTTAAAATGTTAAAGACACATTTGTTTAATCTTAACATGCCGTAAATTTAAAATTGTGTGTTTCTCTTAATGTTTATAGTTTGTATAACTTAAAGATTATTAGAATGGCATGTTCTATATTGATAAAGCGCTTGAAAGTAGATCAGTTATAGTTCACCTTGACTAGACTGCATGAATATCTTGACAATATTTCTGATTAACTCATTTATAGTTAATGATATTCTATATTATCATTTATTTTGATAATATATAATATAATATAATATAATATAATATAATATAATATAATATAATATAATATAATATAATATAATATAATATAATATAATATAATAATAATTATAATATAATATAATATAATATAATATAAAAAATGTAATGTAATGTTATGAAATGTAATGTAATGTAATATTATGTAATGTAATGTAATATTATATTATATGGAATATAAGAGATGTCGCATTTCTGAAATTAACAAAGTTATGTTCTCAGCGGACATTCGGACAGCAAATCCGCATATCATTACGTAACCCGCATATTATACACATTCAATAATTCAGCAGAGTTACTTCGGTGTACAAAATTACGTTAAAAATTAAAGAATCTAACCGACATCTTACTTGTAATGTGTTCTATGGATTGCTAAACTGCGAAAAGGTAATTATAGAAATTTGATATCATACAATTGTTCTCATTGAATTCAATTTACGTGATTCATTTAAGAATTTAAAACCGAAAGTAACACCCATTAAATATTAAAATAACCCAAGTTTCTTTTTCAAAAATGCTAAATAAAGGATTGTATACTGAAAACAAATCAAATAATCAAGAAGCAAAGTCAATTTTAATTTTTTTGCATGTTCATTGTTAACCTGGATATGAAATTAAACATGGCTAAGTGTTTCAAATTATAATGTTTGTGTTGCTAGGCGTGAACAAAGGTGGTTTCCCCGATATTTTTTTCTACATCATTATATAAACAAGGAACATATTTCAAAATGGTCTATATAAAACAGATTCCTGTCTATATATTCCACTTTCTACAAGAATGTAATTAATGAAAATAAAAGAAATGCCGCAAATGACTAAATAGATAGGTGATATTTAAAATCGATTTGTTCTGCTTCATTGGAACTCGCATAGATATCACGTAGTCTGGTTCCGGGTCGTACTTTGCTACGTAAAAGTACGATAACGATAGTGGTAAGGGGCAGGTAATCCAGATTAGATATCACGCTAAACCAATGCTGCAAAATAAGAAAAGATGAAGAAAGAGACCTTACATATTTAATGTCGATGTAAATAATGATCCTTGATATTTCTTTTTCTTTTTTATTCTGCATTCATTACTAAAGCATGACTGAAGTTTTCTCATTTTTTAAAGATATGTTTAATTCTTAGAATTATAAGCGGATACTTTAACTTGATGTCATATGATATTGGTAAGATGATATAAATATTCTAATTTTTAAACTTGTGAACATGATAAAACATATTCATTGACAATACAAATATATATATTTATGCAAATTTTTCTTTTGTTCCCGCAACTTAAATTAATCACTTTCGAGTCCGCTCTCTAGAACATGTAGGCCTAGTACTGTTGTCATATGCGGAAATAAGATCGTGACCAAAGTAAAGCTCGAACTCGTGATCCCTGTCCATGTTAATTCTCGTAAACAAAAGTGGGGTCGAATAATTAAATGAGTGTCATAATGTATTCATAATTTACAAACTTATAAATAAGAATGGATTCTTTCACATGAGGTAGCTATCGAGCTAGCGTACGCCATTGATGGTTCTACTCAGGTGCACGTTCGTGCCTGAAATAATACACGTACGGGCACCCATGGTCTTCCTACACCAGTACAGCTAAAACATCATATGACCTTTACTGTGTCGGTGTGACGTAAAACCCAATCAAACAACTATAAGCACTTACACGTGAAACTTTACAAATCTGTCAATTTCACACTTCACGTGCTGTTTTCTATCGCTACCCTTAGAAGTTAAACTCATATGACGACTGACATTCATAAATTTCAAAATTTTAGTTGCCGAGTTGATAAAACCGATTCGTTTAATTAATGGCGTAAGCTTGGCTCGGGTCACTTGTTTTTATTTACTTCAAACTGTAAAGACAATTTGTTTTAGATAGAGAAAACAGAAAATGGCTTCTGGGGGAGGTCTCGTGGTAGCAGGAGTACAGATACATGGCGGAGGACCTGTTGGGATAGCGCCTGTCGGAGCCCCGGCTGGAGTGCCTGTTGACCTCGAAAAGAAAGAGGCATATTACTTACGTATGCATTTGCTGATTATGAAAGAGGTAACCGCCTTGTTAAGGGCACGGTTTGACCAGGCTGTACCACCACAGCAACTTCATCCGACGTTACAAAATTTTATGCCCACCTTTAATCATGCAAAGAAAAATAATTATCTGAATAAAACGCAGTGGGGTCTTTTGTTTCCGCCACACAAACCACCGTCTTCACACACTTTCTGACGTTACTCTTCTAGCGTATCTTCTTAGACACATCTGTGGACTTAAGTCAAATTCGAAATGGTGGGGTGTTAATGACAACAGCAAGATACCTGGCAATATAGTAACTGAGGAAGCTGACATTGCTCGATTGAGGAACATAAGGAATGATGTAATTATATTACTGCTTCAATCTTGATATTAAATTTAAAAAGCATATATTTAAGCGGTAGTGTTACTGATTTAACGTCATCAAAACAATACCAGTTATTACCATTTAAATTTTCAAACCAGAGAGTAAATCTTATTCGAAGTTACAACTTATATTAATTAATGACAGTTGTCTTTTACATTATTGAAAATAGATGCTGCACAGACAAGTTGCTTCATTAGAGCAAACAGAATTTGAAGACATGTGGGGCTTAGCAGAAACGGTACGTTTGTATATAAACCGTTGACTAAGAGTACGAAATCAGTTTTAAATTAATAGACAGATTGACTGCTGTTTTGTTATTTTCCCAGCAGTTCAATATAGTTATAGTATTCGTTTTGATAATCTGGAACGTTTTTATTATGCGTCATAGAAAATTATTATCACGAACATACGGTGTTCAGTTAGGGCCAGCTCGTTTTCTCTGAACACGACAGTACGGTAATGGCAGCTCGACAGTACGATTGTGAAAATACGACAATAAGATTGTGAGAGTACGATGGTGACAGTATGATGGTGTCAGTACAATAGTGACAGTATGACGGTAAAAGTACGGCAGTACGATAGTGACAATACGACAGTACGATAGTGACAATACGACTGTACGATGGTCTGTCACAATCGTATTGTCGTGCTTCGCCATCGTTTTTTCTCCATATGCCATCATATGGTGGTGCTTTGCCATCGTTCTGTTTTACTTCATGCTTTTCATTCTCAGAGAAAACGCATTGGTCCTAACGGAACACCGTACGAACACATAAAGAGACCTACCTTTTTCACTTCTTCTAAAGTTAAAAGATATTTTCACATCCAGAACAGTTAATTTAACTTTGCAAATATACATCTAAACGATAAAAGTACGCGTCGGAATTTACGTTTAGATATTGTTTTCTTTTGACAGTATTATTTAAAGAACATTTTTTGCTTGCCTACTTGCTCGTCTTATTTCTAGACAGCCCCAGCATTTTAAGGATCAGCACGTGCACAAACGAAGCAAAATGGTTGGCATTCTAATTTTAGATAAAACAAAAGAAAACCTGCATCAACAATGGCTTCATTTTTATTTGCCGTAAGAGTTCCTCTGTTACCTTATGCATTAACCGAGTATGAATAGCATGCGATTCGTATTTAAAGAATAGATTTCCTACAGAAAAAACAACATATTTTTCACCACAACATTTTGAGTTATCCCTATACGGTTTGTTTCCAATAAGAAAATGTACATAATTTAATTCAGAAATTACATTTTGTTAAAGGTAAATGCAACCAATCGATGATTCTTTAGTATTAACTTTTGTCGTATCCGGTGACATTTCCATCAAAGTATTTGACGCAGTGATTAAAGTCTTATAACAGAGCATTCAACTGGACTTCTTACTGTGAAGTTCGAACCTAGTGACGGCATCGCCGAGTGGTTAACGTGTCGGACTAGTATGGGTTCAAACCCCTTCAGGCGCAGTCGTTGTTTCCTTGAGCAAGAAACTTTACACTCAATAATTGCTCAGTACTTGTTGGTTCTTGGAACGGATTCGAAAGTGTGTATATAAGCTTACAGCTTCCTACAGAATCGAACTAAAATAAATTCTGTATAAACCAAGTTCGAACCTCAAGTCAGGCGCATTCCACATATGTTTGATGATATTATTTTGACCTCTTTGATAATGAACGTCTTTTTCTTGATATTCAGGTCATGCTCCGTCTAGCTGCAAAATGTAACATACAAGATCAAAAGCAGAAAATTGATGATTTGATGAATAGCCATCTTGATTTAGTTACAGAAGAAATGAGAAGTATAAGAGGTAAGACTTGTGTTGCAAATTTTAGGTGTTAAGTGTTAAACCTGTAGTATTGGATACATTTCATTTCAATTAGAGTCCTTATGTAGCTATTTTGTCACAGGATAATTTTCCGCAATATATTACCACATTAGTAAGTTACTACAGTACAACCATTATGTGAAAATGATTTATTTTCTATCTTTCGTTGTGAAATCTGACATTAATTTTGATTATCTAAATTGTTTACAGCAAATACAGAATATTTTCTACAAGACTATCAAGACGAACGTCAATTTGTTGAAACTGCTGCCTTCCAGAAAGCAAAGTCAATTTTAAACGATAAACACATGGTAATACTAACTGGTCATCCAGGTGAAGGTAAAACTACAATGGCTGCAAGACTTGCCTTACATGTAAGTCAATCCCCACGTAACTGCCTTAAACTTGTAGCGCCATCTGATTGGAGAATAATTGATTTGTCATTAAAAATATTTGATACAATCATCATTGATGACATATTTGGTGCTGGTGCTTTGGATCAGAAGTTGGTCGGTGACTGGCGAAATCATCTGAGTGAAATAGAGGGAGCAGCAAGGAAAAATGTTGTTCGAGTGATAATAACATCCAGACATTATATATTTGAGGAATCTAAAGAGGAGATTGGTTCTCTGCCAATGATCACGGACAATAATGAAACTCTTCTACTGCTTACATCTTCTGACCTTACACCCGATGAGAAAACTAAAATTCTAAAAATGCAAGCGGCGAAGAATGACAAACATCTGGAAGACCAAACAATACATGAATGTGTTGAAGCTTCCAAAGGGCCGACAGAAGAAGTAAAAGATTTTCTGTTTGGTTTCCCAGAATGTGCATCTATGTTTGTCAGAAACGAAACTATGCGTAGAAAAGGTGCCGCGTTTTTTAAGAAACCGGCTCAATTCTTTAAAAAATATCTAGAAAATTTGTATAGAGGCAAAGAACAAGAAAAGTTTTTAGCACTTGTAGCTGTATGGGCAAGTGATAACAAAAAGATATCTCGAGAAGAACTGAGGAATAGGAAAAGTGCTTCTGACCATGTGAAGAAGATAGCAGAAATATTCGACCATGATTTTAACAGAGCCTTTCTTGACACAATGCGAACGTCATTAGATTCTCATGTGGGAGGATATCTTGTTTTCATAGAGGCTACTGGAGAATATACTTTCAGTCATAATGTCATTGCAGATATGGTTGGTTTGGTTATTGGTAAAAAGAGACCAGAAGAAGCTGTAGAAATTTGTCCACGAGACTTTTTAATGGAGTTTGTTTCGATTGGGGACATACAAGATGATTTTAAAGTAGTTTTACTGGAGAGACAAACAGATTGTCTAGTAGTTAAATGTGTTAAAATGCTTTTGCGAGAAAACTGTAACCAAGTTGCTGAAGAAAACAAAATGGATGAGTTTCAAACACTTTCCAGGACCGGACAGAGAAATAATGACATCAACATTATCAACACAATTGATTTTGGTATCATAAAACACAAGGCTTTTAGCTCTGAAAGGTTTGTCAAAAAGTTCATCGATTATGTCATTGAAGAAAATCTCATACAAAAAGTTTTCTCTGTACCAGTTATGACAATGAAGGGATATTTCCTTGACTATGGAATATCTATGAAGCAACTTGATATGTGTCTAATGGGATATGCCTGGTACAGTGGGGCAACGGCATTTGCAAAGGAAGTAATAACAAGACAGGTACTCGGAGAGGAAAACATCGATTTATCTGTACCACTATTGTTAGCCGTACACTCAAAACAAAAGGATTCAGTAGAATTCCTTCTACGTAATGGAGCAAAGGTAACCGGCGATGCTATATATATCGCTTCTCACAAGAGCATAGAGCTTCTGAAGATATTACTTCAATATCCAGGTACAAACGTAAATGACAGAGGAAATGCAATCAATGGTAATTTTCCTTTAATCATAGCAGCGCGAAAGGGTCTATTCGAAGCTGTGAAATGTATGCTAACCTCAGGTGCAGATCCTGGAGTACAGAACACAGCTCATATGACGGCATTACATAAAGCAATACTATACAAACACGAAGATGTGATCAAGCTACTGATAGATGCCGGAGCACCACTTGATATAAAAGGGGGTAAATTCAAAAGAACACCATTGCATTTAGCAGTTGATTTGAATGAGATCAAACTTGTAGAACGTCTCCTAGAAAAACGTGCATCATTGATGGTCAAAGACCATAGAGGACACTTTCCAATACACATTGCTGCTATACGAGGAAGTACTGATATTCTAAGAGCACTTTATTTAGCTGACCGAAGCCAGGACAAACTACGAATTTCCTCCTATGGTACAAAGTCTGTCATCAAAGGACTGTCATTGTTTCATATTGCCGTTTGGAAAAAGAATGAGGAGCTTTTAGATGCTTTAATACAATTAAATGCTGATCCAAATGTAAAAGATTTCTATGGCCAGACGCCCCTGTTTTTTGCTATTATGAGGAAACATGAAAGCTTCATTCGTAAATTAATAAACTTCGGGCGGACAGATAAAAGAAAACCACAAAAGCAAGGTTTCACTCCTCTACATGCTGCTATTCACAAAGATTTAGATGACATTGCGACTATTTTGATACAAGATTCCGATGTGAACGCAAAGGACAAATACGGGAAAACGGCACTTCATGTAGCATGTGAAAAGGCAAAGATTGGGTTAATACAGATGCTTCTGAACAATGGTGCAGATCCAAGAATTATCACGAAGCGAGGTGATACCGTTTATCATATCTTGAGAAGAAGTAAGAAAAAATTGCCGGACAATGACATTAATTCACAACGTGCTGAGCAGCTCATGCGTGAATTTGACCCGGAATTCGCAGAAAGATTGCCGACATTGAGGAATAAAGCCGGCATAGTAATCAGACCCCTAAAGAGAGTACATCCTGCGATCCAGTTACAAAATCTTATAGACAGAATACAGCATTTCCACGATCCGAATGAACATGAATATGATAACAGTTTAGAAGATGATGATTACATGCCAGATATGTATGACTGTTATGACGATGATGATGATGATGACTATGACTTTGATTTCTGATTAAAATAAAGTACTGGTATATGAAATTTGTTGAAAGGTTTGTATTATAAGTTAAACCATTACAAGTGTTAAATCATTTGAAGAGATGAAAAATTAAATGAAAAATAGTGTATCTGACAATAATTTGTTTCTTCATACATCACTTTTTATTAATGTTATACTGCTTAAGCTTCTTCTTACACACTGTATCTTAAATATTTATATTAGAATTTATGCATGTTTAAGCTTGATGTATTCATGTGCCATAACATTGAAAGAATATGACATGTATTCTAGATACACATAGACAATGTTCTAAATTCATATGGACATGTGCATGTCAAAAGTAACTGGATTCTTGTGTAGGATATTTTAGACAAAAACTTTTAAAATATGCTTTCCTTACGTATTTATCATGTATAATTTTGATTGTGTTGTATTGTTCAAAACGACATTTGAAATAAATCAAAGGAACCCAGTCGTTTATAAGTTGTTTTTTTAAACACAATGTAGCATTTCAATTTTCCTACATGCTCATTATTGTATTGTCGCATTCTATTGACAAATTTCAATAAAGTACTTTTTCACCGAAACGAAAAAGTAACACCCGGTAAGTTTGAAGGTACTTTCATTCAAAAGCGTGAATCAAGAAAAATGACGTTTGCAAGTCGAACGCCTTAAAGGCTTTCAAAAATACACGCATTGAAAAGATAAAACTTTTCTTTGTAACCCACTCGATGATTTACAACTTCATTTTTTATCTCTTTGTTGCACACCGGGTAAAAAATATATTCTAAGAACGACTGCCACTTTTTCAAGCATTTTCTGAGAGAGTCAGGTCTGTGCTTCGGTACTGAAGACACCCATACCCCGTCCCTCTCCTGGTCCCCTCTTCCAGCTTTTCCCAAAGATACGTTTTCAAATTGCGCTGTCAGTTTCATGCCATTGGCCATAGTGTACTCAATTATCAAAACATTTCATTGATGTAATACGGTTGTTAATCTCCTGCCGTGGAGGCTTGAACGTCGTAAGGGTACATTGGATTGGCTTACTACTACACAAAAAAGGAGAATAAGTGCATTAAAAAGTCGAAAAGGTTTATTAGATTGGCTTACTACTTTGCAATAGTTTTCATAAAAAGAGGAGAATAGACGCTTTAAGCAGCACAACATATTTGTCTGCCGTACTAATTATCGCCCGTCAATGACGTAAATGATAAATGAACAAAATATACAAATAGCATTGTTAAATAACCAAAAAACAGGTGCATGAGATAGTCTGGGAAGTAACATACATTTTAAACCTTAGATTTCTGGAGTTCTCTGTCTATGGAAGGGAACTCCCCTCCTACACCAACCATTTTCATTGTATAAGATGTGATCCTGAAAAATCACCAGCCTCTCGGACCGCATTGTTCTGTTGTGTTGTCACAATTTGCCAATATATCTGCATGGAAAAGATGTTAAAATAGGCTTAATGGAACCATATGATTGACAAACACTCAAACTTATACGCTGCCATCACAGGATCGGTTTTTGGTCGTTCAGGCACGTCGTGCAAGGTTTTCGACAGCCACTTCTCTTCGAAATGCCCTTGCTAATGCTGCGGGAGACCGTGTTTCCACGCAGACGGTACATAGACGGCTGCATAGAGGTAATTTGCGGTCGAGAAGACCTTGCATACGTATTCCCTTGACGCGTCGACATCGCCAGGCCCATTTGGAATGCACCATGGAGCTTACACGGTGTACCATGCAACACTGCAGACACGTTCTGTTAACTGATGAGTCCAGGTTCTATCTAGACTTCATAGATAGGCGTGCTAGAGTCTGGAGAGGACCAGGATTGTCCAGTACTACCTAGAGAGAGAGTTTATTGAGCGCATGGACTGGCCAGCTCTGTCACCTGACTTAAATCCAATAGAACAAATGTGGAATGAGCTGCAGATTAGAATTTCAGCTCGTCAGCTGCAACCCAGAACCATCCAGTAGCTTGGAGTGATGTTGGTCCAAGAATAAGCAGCCATACCCGCTAGAACGATCAGAAACCTAATAGGGAGTATGAGAAGGCGCTGCCAAGCTGTCATTGATAGTCACGGGTCACACCCACGTTATTAAGTCTAAAACAAAATATCAAATTTAACAAATTTGGAAAACAGGCTACTTGTTCTGAAATTTTCAATCCTCATCTCTAGCACAACATCAATGTAAAACTCATTTATAGGGTTGAATTCGTTGTTCAGCGGAATTGATAAAACATTAAATCAACATTCAAAACTTTCGCACGGCGTTAATAAAATTATCCCAAAAATATTAACACTCAAACATACGTATTGTGCTTAGTAAATATTGAGTAGTATATTTACTTTCCTTTGACAGCCTCCAGATCAGGGACGTTAACCTCTAGTGTGATTAGAACTTTGGCATTAGGAACATATTGCTGACTTTAATAATTCTGTTAAAGATTATTATTAAATTATTTTTTGTGTCCATTAAATACACGTATATTACATCATTATGGAAAGGAATATCCTTGTTCATCTTTGTTGTTTGATATTCTTACATGCTATTTGTTATTCTATTATGATAGTTTGTACGCAAACATGTTTATTTAAGAATAATATTACAACATTTTATACAGAACAACATCTTTTATCTGAATTCGTATTATCAATTTTATTTGGATATGTTCATATCTATCTGTAAACTACTATTGCATGATAATCATTATTATTTTTTGTATTAAGACATTTATCCTTTAAGTACATTATCAGTTACCAAAACAAGTTTGCTTCTTTAAGAAGAAGCATGCGAGAGGTCTCACAGTTTCTAATGTTTATTTCATTACAAGAAATAAATTTCACCTTCACAAGTCATAAAATAAAACAATTAAAGATTATGACCAAAAAGTAAAATATGTTGTTAAAATTTAAATGTTGCCATAGTATTCTTAATTCGTACAAGAAAAGTGTCATACTAGTAAAAACTATTGTAAAAGAATAAGAATAAGCATGTTAGAATATCAAACAATACAACAGACGAACTGGCGGATATTTATTACCCCTCACTATTTTGTAATGTTAACTTCGCAAAGGCAAAGACGTGATTCATACTTACAATGCTAGTGGACCACATGTTTATGAAAGTATAATATCTGGTCACAAAGTTCGCGTTGTTTATTCTAACAAATAAACAATCATAAATATACAATAAGCTTTTTTCATTTAGAAATCAAAACACAAACTCATTTATATGATGCACTAGGTTATCATGCTATGTTCGTTGTAACGGTTATATCGTTCCGCAACAGTATTTCGTAAAATATACCTCTACCTAAAGAACGCAAAAAAAAAACAACAACTACAAAACGCCAGTATGGCGGTTAAACCTAATACAGGATAGCTTTTGTTTCATGTTAAACTTCAATGTTGATGAGGAAGTGGACTAGAGTTGTTCATTTAAACCAAAACCAAAGACTAGCCAGGAGTTTATATAATTCAACAATATTCTATTAATGGTACCTGTGCAAATATGTATGGCCAACTGGTTCAAATCCCGCCATGAACTACCCAGCTAGCTAACATCATGCCGATGATTCTACTACGGTCCTCATGAAAGGTCCTTGAACAAGCATCACATACGACAACATTACAGATTTTTCAGTCAAAGAATTTAAAGTTTTAGTAAGAATTTGCACGTATTTAGCATAATTCGTTGGAAATCACAAAACAAATCAAACTATTGAAACATTTTCTATTCTTTATTGTTATAATATTATCTAAATATAGATTACTTTGTATTAAAAGGAGGGTATTTAACAAATGTGGCGGCCGGTAGATCGTTAGTACTGTCATAGAGAGGGCACATCTTAAACTCGCACGGACTCATCTCCCAAGCGTACCTTACTGCTGCCACAACGTGTAAGCTTCCATGACATGCGGCCGTATTAATAGTGACTGTACTAAGGTCGTGGGCGACAATTGGAGCTGGTTTCCAGGCATTATAGCTGCATTTGTGGTGAATATTATTTCCACAACAGAGCTGAAATACATTTACATGATCAAAAATTCATTATTTTTTACGATTTACACAACTTGCATGTCCTTATAGACATAAACATGTATTTAAATAACATGCCATATGATCTGCATAGTTAAACAATATTTATCTATTAACTAGCTTATTTATGTCTTTTCATACACGAAATAGGGTGGCAGAATATGAAAACAAATGAGACTAGGTTTGATAGTATCCCATCAAAAGTGTTAATCAAAGACAATTATCTTGCAACACCAACTCAGTAATGATTTATAGAAACTGAGTCCGTGTCTCACCTCAAATCCGTCGGTTGCCCGGACTTCTATAGCACTGTTGCCATGGTCAAACTCAATCACCAGTTTATTAGTCATTTGTGTGATGCTGGTAGGTATTGGGCCCTGGAAGTCTAAGTTAGTCTCTTTGTAAGCCACGGCTCTTCCAGCCAGAGCTAGACGCTTGGCAACATCCTGTTTGTCTCTTGGATGTATGCTGAAATATTATTAATGGTAGAATATATGTTATTATACGGAAGTTAGCATGCATTACTTTGTAGAGAGTCGGGGACATTAAGTGTATGTGTTTATTATATTTTTTATTTCTGATGGTTTTATTTCTTGATAAGTTATGATAATGTACGTGAACATGGAATTGAGAATAGGAAATGAAAACTAATTCAAATCCTTGAATGATATTGAAATGTAAAATTAGGGGTTTTCACATACGTCCCACGAGTAGAATTATAATCCGGTAGGTCCATTGCGACCGCCATAAACACGTTAGGTAGACGCGGATTGGGAACATATCCGTATTTTGCAGTCTGAGACCACCGTATATCCGGAAATCCGGCGTGTAAGGTAATGTTGGAATTGGCAGCTAACTGAAATTGTACAATCTCATCAGTTACAATATAATATGTATCAATGGCAAAATACATTTTACGTTTATGATACGTTAAATACATTTTAACCAGCTATGACTCTAAATACCAACAAGAAATGTAAATATTTTGAAATAATTACATACGTTACATCGAAATTCTCTTTTTAAATTCAACTTGAAAATAAATTCTCTCTGTTAATCTACGAATTCAATTATTTTAAAGCATTTAATTGAAATACATTTTATATCCAGAATATAAAATATACGATAATATTCATCGGATATCCTTTTTTCTATACTATTTTGATGATGCTCACCTGGACAAATCCAAAAGGAAATTGTTTGTCTGTTTGAAGTTGGGAAGCTGTGTTGAACTTTGACCTCCAGTCGTCAATCATGGCGGGAAATTGACATGCATATGCTTCAGGAGCTCTTGAATTTGACTCACCTTAAACAGAATTCCCAAAATAGACATAACATACCAAATATACCACAGGCAGTCACCAGAAAATTGAATAAAGTCTTAAACCATCTATTGTAGTTAAAAAACACAAAAAAACC